AGTTCTTAAGTTTCAAAATAAGAAACAAAAAAATAGTGAAAATTTTTCCTATGCAGGAAACAGTATTGAGAGGCCATTATCCTCACCTCTAGATGGACAGTAGATTTGAGACAATCTTGAAAAACACTGGTACAAATAGATCTATTTTCAGCCTTAGGAAATTATTCTTTTTAATAGCATGAGTTGTATCCCAATGTGTATGCGTGTCTTACCAGGTTATAATCAGTACTGTACCAAGTTATATACTTTAGTTTCATATAATAAGAATATAGCACAAGAATCAAATGCACTGAAGATTCTGTGCTTGTGACAAATGTTACATTTATTCTAAAGACCTCAATGCAATCTTATACTCTAGCTACTGATAAGTAGTTATTTCAAGCATCAAATTCTTTTTTTTTTTTTTTTTTTTTCAGAAATCTGAATTACTTCTTAAGCAAGAAGGCCTTTAGCAAAATAGATTTACCTGGGGGAGAAACTGTCTGGTGTTAAAACATTACATTTCAAATAGAGTCTAAAAAAACTCTGACTTTGCTATAAATTAACTTTCTCCACCACTATCAGGTGATTTAAATATACAGTTAATAGACTCAAATAAATAGCATTAACTTTTGTTTTATTCACCAAAATAAGAAATGTCCCTGAAAGTAAGAACAATGAATCATCTATGGAGACTAATAAGCCAAACATGTCAACAAGTGACTTTATGTGGTTGAAGCAGCAGGCTCTGAGCTCCTCTTGCCATAGTGTAATGACATTGTCACTCATCCTGTCTACCAACCCATGTTTACAGAGTTGACTATGCATGAGGATGGGAGGGGCAAGGAGCAGAACCCCACAGGGACCACAGGTAACAACACTAAATCTTAAGAGTCTAACCTGTGAAGCACATACAGGGTGAAGAAGTTGAACATTATGGGATAAACAAATGAAAGTCTTCATCAAGAGCTAGGATTTGACTTAGCACTTGGTAAAGTGAACACAGAGATAAGAGCAAAAGGAATTGGCAATCCTAGGAGAAAGAACAGAGTTAGAATAGGTGAAAATCTAGTTTGAGAGCACACATGATTCTGCAGGGCAGAGGATGGGTTAAGGTAAGTGTGAGTTGTAAAAGGTAACAAAGGTAATTATGAAGTCTTTTCTATTTCCCAGACATGTTAAGTTCTTTCTCCTGGTCTTTCTCAAGTTGCTGGCTCAAGAATCAGCTCAAGTTACAAGACACACGCCAGATACCAAGAATCAGAACTGCCAAGGATGAGACCTGAGAACAGGATTTTGGACAAACATTCCGCGTAGGCATTATTTTCGATTTTTATAAGACAGCAGGAACTTTATGTGTTTTGGGAGAAGCGAACGGAAGGATAAATTAGGGTTTGGGGAAGGGAAAGTTGAGAGAGAATGGGAATAAAAGAAATAAAAATCAGAATGCCTTATTTTAACTCAGGTGTGAGGTAATAATAAGTCTCTTTGCTCCAAATAAACATTGACATTTATGGCATAATTGATTTTTAAAAAATGACTCTTTCAATGATGCCTAAAAACATTTTGATTATTCCAAAAAATGTTGTAAAAGAATCCCTTTTTGCTTCTAATTTTACCTCAAATTCTTATTTTCAAAAGATCTTAATTCTAAACATTCATATAATTAAAAATTAGTTGGAGTAATCATTAGAGACACTAGTAAATTATCCATAATACTGTCATTTGTTAAATATTAATAGTAAGTAATATTCAACACTGGTAAAGATTCTGGGAAGAGCAATTCTGAAAGAGAATTATATATATATATATATATATATATATGCACGGGTTTAAATTAATATACCATTTAATGGTTCAATTGTTATGTCTTCACAAAGTTTTAATGCACATAATTGTGAAAAATTTCTGAAATTATGAAATGATGTTTAAGATGAATCATTTATGCAGAGAGTAATCTAATTTTCAAGGAAAAAAGCATTGCATTCATACGTGTATTTATGTATACATATCTTTGCTTTTAGAAAAATCTCAGTTAACAGTAGATATAGAAAACGGAACAAGAAGGCAAGATTTTTACTTTTTAATTTACATAGATTTGTATCACTTCAATATGGTGATCAGCAAAAATTTGTGTAAAAATAAATTTCAGCAATAAAAAAATTTAACTTTGAAGTAGCTAAAAGATTTATATAATACTTGGAAACATCATTAAATGTTTGCCAAGGGTTTTAAATAACTTCAGAATATAGAGTTAGATGATGTGGTGCAAAAGCTGGCTTCTTTTCCTTTGCTTAATTCATTCTCAAAATTTACACAACCACAGCCTTTAAAATTATTTAGAATAGTTAATGCTATAGATATTGATTTCTGCATTACAAAAAGCTTTCCATCAATCTTTCCCTCTGATGGGGATTTTATCTTTATATCTTTAAGGAGAAGAGTCTGACATAAAAACATACAAAAACTACTAGAATTCCTTGGCTAACTTATATAATTATGCTACTTAATACTTTATTAGACAAACAACCTTATTCACTTTTTGATTCAATCCTATTAGGTGCTTAGTTCTCAGAAATATTTTAACTCAAACAGGAACCAATTGAATATCAATTTATTTTTAAAATGATGCTTGGTAGATGATATTTAAATCACAAACTTTATACTAAGCAAAGGTAGGCCTTCTTTCTACCCTTGATACTTCAAGTTTTAAAATAATTCACAGAAATCTAAAATAATTCACAGAAATCGATGACATTTTTTTCAAAGCCAGAAACTTTCTTGAGCTTTTAAATCACACACAAAATAACATTATCATGAAATCCTCTGTTGTTAAGTAGCTTTTTCAATTTTGATTAAATTTTAAGTTTAGGTTGCCTCCAATTTTAAGAAATATGAAGACATAAGTGAACTATAAAATAGCTATGATATAAATTAAATTAATTTTGTAAGCATTTTTAATAGATACACACACGTCCATTCTGGGTTCCAGATATCACAGGAGAAGGAAGGATTTTGTTAAAATGACTCAAATAGAAAATAATGACAAGAAAATTGTTATTACTGGTCTCCCTTGAATGTGGAAACCATTGGAACACCCATTCTTGTTCTTTTATTTAAGTTATCTTTGAAATCATGCTTTTAACTATCGGGCTAATTGTACAAAGTTTTTGGCAATATTCTTCCCACAAATATAAAATTACAACTTTCGAGCAAATGAAAGCACAATATGAAAGGTTTTCTCTACATGCTGCAAGGAAACTGTCCACTCTTGCTGGAATAGTTTCTGCCTCATTTAATCACAAATACGTGAAAATCACAGTCTTGTTTTTCGCCTATGTGGGAAACTTCTAGAAACTCTTTAAGTTTAAAGAGAAAAACTCTGATTGTTTTTTCCCTGAACTTTATGAATGCTTAAATATTGTTCAACTTTATGAATGCTCTTTTTATTTATCTCCCACTTTACCCTTAGAGCATTACTCTGTGACCATGTGAGAATTATAAAAATTAAAGGTAAAATGTATAGAGTTCAGTGGTTCCTACTAGTAGCTCAACAAACATTGGTGTGATTTTTAATTAGTTCCCTTGGTAGGTAAATTTCTTTCTTTATATAGCAAGTAATAATGAGTGTCCACTTGATGCCAGGTAACATGTCAAGTCCAAAGTGGTCAGAAATAAATAAATGGGTAAAGTCTGTATGCACACATGAACTGGCTCCCTTGTTTTAAAGATTTTTCAAAAAAAGAAATCCTGGCAATGTTTCTCAAGTCAGCCACAGATTCTTTCAACATTTTAAACATTTTTCTTATTCCTGTTCATATTCTAAAAACAATTCGTATATATTAAGCCTACAAAAAATTACGTTTTTAAAAGCACATATTATATCTTTTATCTTATAAGTCAGAAAAATAAAAAACACAAATATACTTGGTCTCTTTTAGGCCTAATTATAAAAAAATTAAAGGGAAAAGGAAACCAGTAAGTTTTAAATTTAGATTTCATAAATCATATAAGAAATACAGACTTCTCCATATACTTCTTAGTAGTTCAAATTTAGCCCTCATGAGTTGTAATTTACTTTCATTCTAACTTAATTTAAAAGTTAATTTAAAATTTCTTTCAGTATAATTGCTGTCACGCAGCATGCTCAAGTGTAGTAAGGGACAGTGTCACAGGTTCAGTTTTAAAACCAAAGACTATGAAATTTTTAAAAACGTTTTGCAAAACCAGCACCTTGAAAACTACGGAAATTTGTCTTAATTCTTCGCTGCGTTCATGCAGCAGTAGACCCTTTTTTCTTGAAATACTTCTATTTAGCAGCAACAACTCATTGACCTCATTATTAATTCAAATCTTTTTCTTTCATTTTTGTAAGCCCTCAGTTTGTCTCATTAAAATCAGCTCTCTGCCTCCGTCTCTGTCTGTACCTCTCTTCTCCACAAAATATAATCAATCTCTATTATAGTCATGAAAACGATATTTGTCACTTTGCTGAGAAACAAAAAATCAATATATCTTCCAACGCTGAACAGGCATTTAATGCCATGCATTGAAGATGGAGAGGAATTTAGCTTGCCAAGAGTTTAGGACAAACTAATCGAGATCCAGAAAATTCACAGAACAATTGGCTGATGAAATATATAGATAAGCCATAGAAATTAATATTTTGGGCACTGGAATAACCTGTCATTTCCAATCTTGACAAGAAAATGGATTTAGACAACCAAATCTCCAGGGGCAGGGGATGTCACCATTTTAAAAAGCAAAATGAAATCCATGCATCAAGAACATATTTCTTAAAACTGGTTTACAATTTTTAAAAAGAAAGGCTTCATTTTCTTTTTCTATAAAATTTACTGGATAGATAGATAATTTTAGAGTTGCAAAACTGTAAGAAATCTTAAGGATCAAAAACCTATAGGGATGTTGTCATATGGAAATACTTGCCTCTGAGGGTTGTTCTGTTTTTTGCACTGAATACAAATCATTGCTGTGGTCAAGTGTATAGTAAAATCAGTTACCGAGCTGTAGATCCAAGGAACATCTTGTCAGGTTGTCCTTTGACCCACCCTTTCAGCTTCTACTCAGTTACCTCCAGCAAAGGGGATGGTTATCTCTTGGCCCTGGACAGCACCTTTAATACAGAATAACTCCTCTAGTTAGAAAACAGTGTCTCAGATTCAAAACACCGCTGCCCTAATCTAGTGTTGCTCTGGAATGTAAGCTCAGTCTTTGAATGAGCCTTTTCAAATGCTAGCAGTGAACTCCTATTTCTCCTGAAACCTCCCTTTCTGGCTGGACACTTGTAGCTCTTCCACCCACTTCCCGTGGCACAGCACCTACTACAGCAAGTGGTTTTCAGGAAAGTCCTGATACCATCTCCACAAGACCTTCAGCTTGTCAGTGTCTTTTGGGACTTGCATCACCAAGAACAAACTTAAGAAGACAAGCAACCATTGGAGCCCCCATTTACCATCTTTGGAAACTCCATCTATGTGAGTGTATACAAGTTACTTCCTTCTTTCTTGTACCAACTTTATCTGATTAGTTTAGGGCCAGGTTTATGATCAGTTAGAACAGAAACTCTATGAAGGCAGAAATTCTTCCTTGTTTTGTTCATTCTCCGTTTTTAGCATTAAGTGCACAGCTGATACTCAATGAATGTTCTGGGAATGGATTCAGAACACAAGGATTTAGATCTACAGAGGTCGTCTTAGGGTTTGGCTTATGTGTTTCCAGTAATTAACAAATCCATGCATCAGGTTGTATATAAATGGCCTATGAGACTTAGAGGATTCAGTTATTTTGTCACCGTTACACTCCACCATTTCCAACTACCAAGTGAACATCTCTCCATGGGTGAATTCATCCCACTTTTACCCTGCTCTAATTAGTCACGTCCTTTACTCTTCAAAACAATACTCCTCGGGGCTGGGGATTTAGCTCAGCGGCATAAGTGCCTGCCTTGCAAGCACATGGTCCTGAGTTCGATCCCTGGTACCCATTTAAAAAAAAAAAAACAAAACACTCCTCACTTCCCACATGGCACAACTTCGGCACAGATTACTAACTTGCCCTGAGTATGCTGTCAGTAAATTCCAGGGTGAGGATCACAGAGTAGAGAGCTCAGCATCCAAGTCACAGCCCTCTCCTCGCTGTTTTGTGCAGTGGTTCCTTGAGGAGAATGGATGTGAAAAAGAGGTGAAAAGCACAAGGAATTTCTGAAGTGAGGCCCTCTGGAATAATTTGCATTCCCTCTCCTGAAGACTGGAGGGTAATTTGCAAAAGTTAAATGCAGGAAAGAGAGGGAGGAAGGAAGGGAGAATAAAAGACAGACAGACAACACACAGACACACGGGACATTCTAAAAAATCAGACCAGGTATGGTGGTTCATGCCTATAATTCCAGCACTCTGAGAGGCTGAGACGGAACAATCCCAAACTCAAGCCCAGCCTACCCAACTTTAGTGACTTAAGACACTGTCACATAATTCAAATTCAAAGAGGGCTGGGATGTGGGTCATTGTGAAGGCCCTGAGCTCTCTGCTCACAACTAGGGAAAACAACAAAATAAAACAAAAACACAAAAACACTCCATCTAAAAAAAAAAACAAAACACCACCAACAACAAAAAAACACCTCGTTTGACTGCTAAAAATGAGCCAAACAAATCAGTGGCCGACTAAATTTTTAAAAATGTTTGACCACTTTGGTGGGTGTCACAGCAGTGAGCATACATGTTAAGTGTCCAGGAAGTAACTTAGAGTGTGTCTCAAAGAGAGTCGCCATCCACTGAGAGAAACCGGTGTTGCTTCTTTGAATGACAGCAGTAGGACCACATGATGTGCTAACTTTTGGAACAATCTTGAAAATTCACTTTCTGTTTTTTTAAAAGGTACTCGACTGCCTGTCTTTACAACAAAGCTGTGCATGCTCATTCATTTTATGACTCGTTCCGTTCCAAAATAAATAAGTGACCGAAGTCACTTACTAGATGACAACAAAGAAATCTGAAGCTCTTATTTGCTCTATGGGCTTAATCTACCTCTTTTTTATGTTTTTGATGAATATAATCCCTTGCTCATGTTTTTTGTACCAGGAATTGAACTTAAGACCTTGCGCTTTGTTGGCAGCCACTTTGTCCCTGAGCTGTACCTCCAGCCCTCTTTGGCTGGTGCTGAAACTCTCAGGAAATGCTCCCCAGAGAAGTTCATCTGCAACTTCCACCAAAACCGCAGAGTTGTTTTTACTTCTGAAGTCACAGGACAAAGTAAGTAAATTGTGTTTTCCCCCAAATCTTTATTGATCACCCACTGTGTTCACTGGATGGTGTAGATCTCAAGAAACAAAACACAACTCTCTTCTTCAGGTCAAAAGTCTAGTCATAAAAATGGCCAGGAATATTTCAGAACCATGGGGTACAAATAGCATTAGAGAATCATTTACAGTCACAGATGTCACCAGCACCTGGGAAGGTGTCTGTAACACAGTAGGCACTCAATACACATTTATTGGCTGGCTGAACAAGTGAAGGAGTCATCACTGTCCTGGGAACTCAGAGGAAAGGCACCTTCCTGTCACTGGGACATTTGTCAGGCTAGAGGGGGAGGAAGTGACTGTTGACTGTATTTATATTCATCCTCATAGTATCCTGGCCTCATTCCTATGAGAAGGGGATGACAGAGAGAAGGAAGCAGGGAGAGAAGAGGTGGCACCCTCTCAAACTGTCCACTTAAGGGAATTTTCTGTAAGACAATTTCTGATTTCCCAGGCACAGCAGTCAGCTGGGAAGTGGAGGAAAACAGGTATTTTTATGCAGATTTTATGGAGGCTCTGAGATGTAAATGGCAGAGGTGCATTTAAGTGGTTGAGGGCAGAGGGTGGCACCAGGCCAGCAGTTCAGCACTCTGGTCCACTGTGTTACCCCATAGGACATATTAATGAAAAGGCTTTTTATACTTCAACAGATCTCAACAGGAATAAATTAAGGGTTTGACTTCAGACTCCAACAGACCAACCTGCGTATCAGCTGTACGCCTGCAGTGAAATCTTTATAAATAAACGTGCAATGATCCCTTCCCAGAGTCTGTCTTTACTGCCCTGCACTGACTAAAACACAAGGGAGAATTCAAGCAATTACAAAGATAGCAGTGGATGCAAAGTCATGATGGTCTCCTGCTTAAACTCCTCTTTAAAGGATGAACTTTCTAAGAACTTGTTTTACTACAAAAACTCAAGAAAATTAAGGGAGTGAGCCTAGCTTTGCTCCATTTGTGCTACCTTACACAAGGATGAATCTAGGAAAGGAAAGAAGCTGATTCCTGTCTAAATATTTATCTTCTTTTAAAGTTGCCGTGGAATAAATTAAGTCTCTCTGCCTACACCTCGAAGACTACACCTCGGGAGACTGTTGAAAATGAAAAGCAGTGTGAGTCCTGGCTACTTAGTCCCATCACACTGCTTCTTGCATTGCTCTGGAGGCCATGTTTGTCTTTTCTCTTAGAAACACCTTTCCTTACAACTGGGCTCAACTGTCTCACTTCCTGAAGAGTCTTCCTCTTCCTCTTACCACCCCTGAGTCACCGTGCTGCCTGCCTGCCTTTCCGTCACACTAAGTTGGTAGGAAACTGAGGCTGCCTGTCCCTGCTGACTCCTAACTTCTGCAAGAATCCTACCCAGGATTCCACCCCTTGCAAGGCGGCTTAGAATCCCACGGGCTTGCCATTTTGGAGATTCCCATAACCATCATTTCCACCAGAGGCTGATGCTACCCAGCATGCACTCACAATTAGAGAAATTTCACACCAAGATGACTCCTCTGTTTGAAATCCATTTTTGCCTTGGTTTCCATGGCATCGCTATGGCTAAGTCTCCTCGCTTACTCTATTTGACAGACTCTTCCGTTCTACTGATCCTTGGAATGTGTGCAGCTTTTCTTTACCCCATACCCAGCCACACAGACCTTTGCTTCATTTTCCTGAATGTGGGCTGAAGCGGAAAGTGGCCACTGCCCCCACGCACACCCTCCTGTATGCAATGTGCACTGCCCAAGAGGCAGGAAATCAGAGTGGAGCGGTGGTGGTGGTCAAGTTCTGTGCCCACATCACTAACCTGGGGCACTCTTCTCTAGAAATCAGATAGGTTTTTCCAACTTGGTTTTTATCACTCTCTACTTTTTTAAATTGGTCTCCCTCTGTGTTCAAGATAGAGGCACTAACATGGATCACATCCTTCCCAACCAGGATAATTAGTGCTGTGCTCGTTTCTCCCTTCTCTGCCTCACGACATACAATGGATACATCTATGATACTAATTCAGAAATGTTTAACGAATATAACCTCTCTTCCTTATTCTCATTATGAGTCACCAAATCTGTTCATTATCATGGAGGCTGGAAAACTACAAAATCTTCACAATCGCTTCCCCCTTTTCTCTTCCCCTGCCAGCACAATCTATTTTTCCAAGTTTGGTAGAATCAGCCATCTCACAGAAACAGTAGCAGCATTCAAGTCACAGGGCTCTTAAAGCCATATTCCATGATGAGCTGTTTCTACAAGACTGGCCATCTAGACTCCTTTGCTTTGTATTCGGAACTCACTGTCACCTGGCTTCGCCAGATCGTTTAACCCAGGGTTTCTCCTTCTTCCTTTGCATGCAGTCACACTCAGAGCTCCCCCATGCTGAAATTCCTAAGTCACTGTGAGATGCCTGCGTAGATGCTATTTTTCTGCCTGGAATGATTCTCTGCTACATCTTCATTCTACACATTTTAACAATCAACTTAAATGTCACCTTTCTAGGTGAAGCCTTCCCAATTATCCCTTAGAGGCTTACTGACACCAACTCTTTCTAGTTCTTTGTGTGGTAATTTTTCCATTTTTCTGTCACCCCATTTGACAGTCTCTAGATCACAATTTGTTTTACATGCATTTCTACCTTCAGAGCTCAGAATAGTGCCTACGCTATGGAAGGTAGTCAGTAACATCACATGGATAAATATTTTTGATAAGTAGGTATTTTACATTGATCAATGAAAACCAGTGATGAGACTCCAGACAAGGAAAGAAACTCCATTTTTAAAATTCTGATATATCCAACATGTTAAATACAGACTATTTACAAGGATTGGATAAATAAGTCTTAAATTCATGTGGTAAATTTACATGTATAGTATAAATCTGAACAGTTAATAAAGTAGCTTGATAGCGAGTGTCTTTCAGAGGGTACTGGGGATTGAACTGGTGTTCCACACTGTGCTAAATCTTCAGTGCTTCTTTAGTTTTTATTTTGAGACAGGGTCTCAGTGAGTTACCTACCTGGCTTGAATTCGGGATCCTCTTACTTCAGCCTTCCAAAATTCTGGGATTACAGGTGAACTCTACCACCTATTCACCTTAATACCACCTATTCAACTTAATAAATGCCTTTTGATTATAATATGACATCTAATGTGGGCACATTTCTACTTTAAACCCATTTTATTTATCTATTAAGAATATAACACATCATGAAATATACTTAATGATATTTTTAAAGTTGAGCATGATGGCCCACACTTGTAATCCCAGAACTTGGAAGGCTGAGACAGGAAGACTGCTGTGAGTCTGAGGACAGCCTACACTATAAAAGAAGACCCTATCTCAAGAAAAGCCACCAAGAAATAAGCAAACAATAATTATAATAGCCACTTTCACTATAATACTTGACTTTAAAATAACTTCAAATTTACTAAAGCTAATAAGCATTTAAAATGTCTCATTTTTGCATGTATTAAATTTACTAGATATTTATGCTCTTAGCAATGCAAAGTGCTTTTAAGGCACCAAGAACTGACCATCAGTTTTTTTTTTTTCCTGTCCTACTTAAAAATGTACAAATCATTTATTTTTAATTTTTATACTAAGTTAGCAATTATCTTACATTCATTGTTTACAATTGTTTATAGCAATGATATCAAACTTAAACCCAGGTCTGAAAATTATCTTTGGATTATACTGGAAAGTCTAGAAAACCAAAACTTAAAATGATCTTGAGGACATAGGAGTATCTGTGTCATTCCCCACTGTCAATAAGCAACAGCAGCTCGTACATTTTGTTAGTAGATACAAAAGTCAGAAGCTGGTAACACATAGGATCGCCACCATTGATATTTATGGTTTGCTTAAGAGAAACCATTTGTACTTCACAGTGAACAGCTTGAAGTATTTGTTACAATAGGAGCCAAGGGTTAACTGTTGGTTTTCACCTTTCCTTTGTGGTCAGAACCAAGCACCTACCACTGTACCACCACAAAAGAGGTCTAACCACAGGCCTCGACAGCTACTGATTTCTGTTTAAACTTTTGTCACAACCCAAATTCATTCCAACAAGTATCCATTTATTTGAGAAGATGTACAGTCTCCATCGATTACCTAGGGATCGGGGTGGGGATGCGGTTCTGGTAATTAAATTCAGAAGAACTCTACTCCTGAGCTACTCCAGCTTTTTGAATTTTGAGACAGAGACTCCCTAAGCTTCCCAAAATGGCCTTGAACTCATCATCCTCCTGTCTCAGCCTTCTGAGAAGATAGGATTATGGGCAGGTGCCACCACATCTGACTATTTAGGGAATCTTTAATCAGGACCATTTTTATGTTCACTTGTGATTCTGTTAACATGAGGTGTGTATTAATATTTTTGTACCTGATTTGTGAGTGCCTTAAGAGAAATCATTACATTAATTTGGCCTTAGGTATGTCAATACCTATGGATACATCAGACAGCTAAATTTCCACCTATTTCGAAGCATAAATCCCAGAGGGAAGATAGGAAGCAAGTACCATAATACCCCGTATTCCAGAGTCTCTCTTTCTGTGGTTTGACTTATCCATATTTAACATCAGTCTAAAAATGCCAAATAGAAAAACCAGAAATAATTCATATTTCTGGATTTTGTTATTAGTTATTGTAATATTTTGTTATTAGTTATTGTTGTTGATCTTCAGTATACCTACTTTGAGCTTTATCATAGGAGCAACTTATAATAAAAAATGCAGGGCATCTTGGATCCTACCAATATAGAAGAAATACTATATTTTCCAATTAAAAGCTTTCATAAGCCATGGCTAGTCCAGTCAATAACCGTGAACACAACATTAAAACATGTCTCCATACCAGGGGTGGCCAACGTCTCCAGGAAGGTAACTTCCTTTATCATTTCCTACCTAACCATCAATAGTAATTCCTAAAGGTTTTTCTCGTGCACCCAAAGGATAGAATTCAGTAGACAAATAAATGAAAGGAAATCACTCATTTTTCCTACACTCATATCTTAGATACAAATCACATTGAAGTCTGAAACCGTATGCATTAAGATATCCAGGAAATAGCAAAAATAAATATAAAAATAAATATGTCCTCCAATGTTATTTTTCCCCAAAGAATCTTTTTTTTTATAATCATAAAGACAAATACCATCCTCAGAATCTTTTTATTGGTAACATAAAAGCTAAAAATAACAGATAAGATTTTATGATATTAGACCCATTAAATGCAGATTATTGTGCTAATAAGAGTTTCGGGCAGTATTTTAATTCTATGGTGAAAACTGTGAAGAGTATTTTAGGAAACCTAGTCTTTCAAGTTTAGATTAAACCCAGCATTAAAGGGTATGTGTGGTCATGCATTTGTAGTCAAATATTTACATCTACATGAAGCTGGCTCAATGCTTAATACAGCTTAATAAGACAGAGCCATAGTCATAAACAATTAACAAGGTTCACATTGCTTGCTCCTTAAGAAAATTTCTGGGCGTCCATTAGAAACAACCACAGGCTCTGCATTTGCGTACTTGTGGTTTTAAAGAACTCAGAGCAAAGAGCCAAGAAAAATGACTTTCAGAAGATTTAATCTGCATGGAAAAAAAAGGTACACAGCTGGATGTTAATAAGCTTGGAGGAAAAAGGGGAGACTAGGCAGAACAGATCTGGGGAAATGAACGGGCAGGAAGACAGAGCAAAAGGATGCCAGCTAATGTTACAAACGAGTTTGAACAGAAGAGTGACATAGCAGGTATAGAAGTCAGCAAATCTGGCTCTGAGGGTTACACTGGGTTTACAGGAGAGGGAAAAGATGGAGGAGTAAGTAAGCAAAATGTCTTAGCAGTCTAGTGACGAGGAACAGAAAGAGTCCCCTCTACACTCAGTATTTCAGCTTGGTGTTCTGTCTGCTCACCAAAGAGTGGCTGACTTCTATGACATTGATGTTAATTTCAGATGACTAGGGATGTGCTCATTCTTCTTTATTTGTCTGAATCTGAGGTCACAGTGCACCACTCGAATTCACAGATCTGGGTGAGCATATGTTTAAGAGTGGGGGAGGGGGTCACATTGACCCAACGCTATGTTACTGTCACTTGAGTAAGTCACCAGCAAAGTGCACATGACCACCTGAATTTCTAGCTTTAAACTGAGATTCTTTAGAAATTTCTGAGGCAAACTTAGGTGGAACATTAAGGTATTTACCATCACACAACAACACACTGCTGATTTGTAATCGAGGCCAGACTTTTCCAGTTTACTAGAACCAAGTATTCCAAATCATTGCCCTGACGGAGATGCCTTCAAAAGGTCACTCCCCCCGCTCCTTGGAGGTCATCATCTCTCACCTAGGCCTGCCAGGAATGATGCCTAGTTGGAGATAATCTTCCGCAAATGTTTTTTCTTTGCAAGTACCAATCAAAAAAAGCTATCTTGGCTATATATTGCATTATTTACAAAATACTTTCCTATATTAGTACCATCTGCTGTCAGTGTGAATTAGGCAAAGAATACATCACTCCCATTTTACAGAAGAACCCCTCTGGGGTTCTCTAAAAGTGGTGGTAGGGAGGATTTAAAATTTAAAAATACATTTAAGTTCTTTACACAATAATAATAATTTTTCCAAACATCTTTCATTTTCTCAGAGTTTTTATACATAAAATTGCATACATAGAAGTTGATTTTTTAAAAAAATTAAATGCTAGCTAATGTGTTTTATATCTTACAGATCCCAAGATATTAATTGGTGATGAAAGGAGAAAATAAAATAATCAATAGATGCTAAATTTTTGAAACTGGAAAGAAGCTGTTGGCAAGTAAGATGGCAGGAGAGAGATTTGATATAATAAATAGTATTTTGCTTTTAACTACATTAACTCTTATTATTGTATGGATGCAAAGACTGTGATGTGGAGAAGAAGGAAAGGAATACAAAAGATTCCATGAAAAAGCTCAGTCCTTCCACTAGGAGATGAAGAATCCCAGGAAAACAGGGCCTGAATGATAAGAGTCTAAGGAAAGTCACCTTATTTTGTGTTTGTTCATGTCTTGGCTAAGTGTCAATTATTTTATGAAAAACTTCCTAACTTTAGCCACTCAAGTTTGCCAAATAACTATGGAATGAATCCTTTGAAACTGTGATCCAAAATAAATTTTCCTTTAAATTATTGTTCTCGGGTATTTGATCACAGCTCTGGAAAAGCTGACTAATACAGTAAGTTTAGGTTTCTGCTCCTTCTAGCCCACAGTTACTACAACAAGCTAATCATGTCTTCTTGTAGGACTAGGACCATCCTCCCTTCTTCATTTATAAAGAATAAGAATGGAAGTTTATTTGAATGTGAGAATACTATGGCAGGCAATGTAATAATCACCAAAGGCTCCATTATAAGGACAAACAAGGGTCTTTTATACCTTCTACAATTATTTTTTGCCTCCAGTGATCACAAAAGAAGCTCTACAATTGATCTGGCTATGACACACATCACACAATGGCTGATCCAAACAGATTCACATACCTAGCACTTCTCTTTCTTCAAGTTAAAGCTCAATTAAGATTTATCATAATCAGAGCAAGCATCAACTTAACACAAAGCTCCAAAATCCAGTTTTGCATGTAGAAGGATGAGCCAGGAATCAAACTAAGTCTTGTCTTGAAATCTAGTTGCTTGGTAAACATAAAAAAGAATGATTCTTACCTTTATTTATTAATCTTGATTCTCTTATCAATTTTCCACTAAGATTTCTATCAGTGGATGCAAAGACTGGTTCCTGCTATGGTTCCTGTACTTCCCTGAACAACAAAGTGCAGTTTGTTTAATGCTGAGATAAGGAATGACACTAAACTAATTTGCTTTGCCAGTAAAAAACAACAACAACAACAACAACAAAAAACCATTTCTCTAGTCACTATGAGTCTAACAGGCAATGTTTGCTTTGTAGTCTGTGCTACCATGATTTTTAAAAATTTCTTGAACCAGCTTGCATACAGCAGAAAAGAATATTAATTAATCAACACAACAATGAACCTGTCCTCTGGAGAGAAAAGCAATATACTTGCAATATAGTGATATTTCTATTGCATCCAGTGAAGTAATTTACAGTGGTCTTCATTTCTTGGTTGTGTAAGTTACGAGACAGGAGGCCTTCAAGTAATAGACACATACCACACAAAATTAATTGAATTCTTGTGGGTAAGTTGCTGAGACAGTCTATTTAATTTGGGTTAGATAAAAACAACAAGACAGTAGAGACAATGACTTTTAAGTGGATTTTAGTGTATTTCCTACCTCGGTGTTTTCCAAAGCCTCGCTGGTAAATATTGAAATGGAAACCCATGTTGCAAGACTTCTGCTGATGAATGAGGAAACAGCCTTATCATTAGCAAAGTCATTTTTCAAAGGCCTGCAGCAACACTCCTCAAGACTTCACGCGCGAGCGTGTGCTGTGTTTAAGGGTTGTGTAACCAGATTGCCACAAAATCAGCACAGGAATCACAGGCAAGCATTAGAAACAGCTACAGCCCTGGGACACATTCATTTTATGACTCCTAAATCTGATAAGAAAAAGCGGAGTTTGTGTTTTTCATGCATGACTTTGATTATTCTAGTAATTCTACTTTACTCTGTTTTATGAACGTATCTACCACAGATGAAATGTTACAAGAAAAAAGAAAAAAAAGAACTAGAATGTAACCCAGTGGCAGAGCGCTTGCTTTTCTACAATCACAGGGCCCTGCCTACAGTATCCCCAGCACCGCTAGGGGAGAAAAGAAAAAGAAAAAGAAAGAAAAATGTTCGGACAGATAGTGCGGTACATTGTGCAAGGACAGGCCAACATCGTGAGCTCCCAGCTCTTCCATCAGGAGCTGTGTAGACAAGTTTTAGTAAAAGCTTTTGTATCCCAATGACTTCAGTTGCAAAATGCACTGAATGACATCTATGGCTCAAGATAGGTGGGGAAAACCCAGCAAGCACTGGCTTTGGCATCAGAGACCCCTCCGCTGAACAACAGGCATAATAACGTGTCACAGCATGGTGTAAGGCTGAGGTAACTTGGTAAAGTCTAGAGCTGGTGCTTATTTAGCGTCTGCCAAAACCTCATAGTTACTAGTTATGAGTACCAAAATTAACTTACAGGTACTTAATAAGTATTAACTTTCTGCTTTTCTCATTTTTGTAGAGTAGCCTAAAAGTATTGTGCTTCATGGCCTCAGTCCAACCTTCTGGGTGACTTGGGGGTATCTCAGATGCTCAAAGAATGATCAGAATCCTGACAGAGCCCATCAATAAGGTCCTTTCTGGTTAAGAGTGGACACTTCTCCTGTGATATTTACATGTGAAAACATTCTCTTCTGAGCTGTCTCTGCAAAAAATGACACAAGGCTGGGGTGAGTTCCTGACAGATGTATTGCAGGAATGTATAGACAAGCTATTTCTGGAAATGGGGAAAATGCCAAATAGTCCTGTCTCTTCATTCACAACTGACCACACATAATAACTCTCTTCATTTCTCTTTGAAAAAAAAAAAAGGAAATTAATTACAGAAAGGATATAGGTAGAATACACTTAAAAAAGAGTTCCTACACCACTTTTGATTTTACAAACTACTATAATCTGATTTTATTTTTGCAAATGAAAAACATTTTCCCGATATTACCGATAAGGCTGAGATATGAAATGATTGTCTAAGTATAAATCACTATGGAAGATGCACCTAAAACTTGAACTCAGTCATTTAAATCCTAAAACTCATGCACAGACAATAGAGGTGGAGCAACTTACATAAAAAAGGAGAAATGTCTTTTCAGGATAATGTCTCATAAAAATAGTTAGAGGTGTGAAAAACTTCAAATCATGAATATAAACCTTTGTGAAAGAAATACAGTGGCAACTAAGGATGAATACACGGACAAGATATGGGTAGAAAAAAACTGACGCATACCCAAAAATAAAGAATATTAGGGGGAAATGTTCAAAGGACTTAAGTGTGTGTCTAAGGCATAACAAAATTCAAAACCCACAGACACACAAAAAAGAAGAAAAAAATGGGAATGCTGACAGACACTGGCCCAGGGCTTAAAGAGAGGTAGCTTTGAGAATGTCAGACAAACCCCACAGAGAGCTCCCGCAGGTACCTTTGGTGGCTGAACTAACGCTCCCCCTCAGCCCAGTTCACAGTTACCACTCTGGGGAGAGGTCCAGAGGGCACGGGGGAGATCACACCATCAGCCCAAGCCCACCAGCTGCCCCCAGAGTCTGTAGCTCATCAGATCTGTATTTGATCCCTAGTAAGAGGCCAGTGCCCTTTCCCAGGGCAACACCCCAAAGGGGAGCAGTCACCTAGACCTTTGTGTGCGTGAATTGCAGTTCTGGACTTGAAAGGTTTTCCCGGGCAAAGGGGGGCAGAGAAGCAGAGCGTGGGGCATTGGAAAGGAGTACGAAGAGAGTGCGCATGCTCAATAGCACTTGCCAGTGCTGAGGGCAGATAATGCCTTTTCAGGACTTCCCTAAGGTGAGCCAACAGATTTTGAATAAAAATACATTATATCACAAATGTGGATGTGTGATATGTATGCACATTCAGACATACAGTAAATAGTAGCAACCCTAAGCATCACCGAGAGCTATCATTTATTGGCCTTTTACCATATGCAGAGCACTGTGCTTTGGGTTCACCGTCCCATTGCATCCTTCCAGACACGCTACAGGGGTGGGTACGGTTACCTTCAGCATTGTATAGATGAGGAAGCCAGTTTAGAAACTGTTTGCATTGCTAGTAACCTTTGAGCAGGAATTCAAATCAGTCATGCAAACTCTCAGTGCGTTTATGCACTTAAGCAGGAATATTTTCTTCATATCACACATAAACACCCTTGCCCATGCCCACTGGTACTGTAGACTTGAAAACAAGGAACCCCCATCCTCATGCCCGAGTTCTCTCAATCACAAAGGGCCAAACAGCACACCCATTGCAAATTCCAGTTTCACTCTGCTGTAAGCAGTTAAAGCTTCTTTAAAAAAGTAACAAAGTAATTAATCATGATATACAATGAAAAAGAATGCAAAATGTGAATGAACTTCTAAGCTTCAAAATAAAAATGATCTTCCACCATCATCTCTTTCTCCTGTTCCACTGTTCTCCACCTTTTTAGGTCTGGGGCTGAAGAATTTGAGCAAGGATGCATTAATGAAAGTGTAGATGCTGATCTGGATCATGGACCGCTGACCTTCATATTTGTGGTCTTCATGCCACATTTGAGAGAAATTGTGCAACTTTTTAGCTAGAAGCTTACTAGAAGCTTATTGGCCTAGGGGTCCCTAAGAACCATGCTAGCTGAGGATGACGCCATCCTTCCCTTACTCCTCATCTTGACAATTGCACTGCGCTTTAACTATTCGATCCACTAACAAACAAAAGATATTTTATTCTCCAGAATCTTAATATACTAGAAAAAGCATTTTTAAAAAATCCTTTTGCGCATTTTTCTAAACTTTGCTCTCTCATCCATTATCATTTTGAAAAGCAAGAAGAGAAAAAACAAACCAACAACTAGACAAATGTGAGGCCTCACGCTCTTCAACAGCAAAGTACTTGCAACTCTAAATTGTGACGAAACGGTCCTGAATGAAACAGGTGATATCCATGACAGTATGATTATAGTTAAGCAGAGAAATAACTTTGAAATATTTTGGACTCATTAGAAAGTTTCCTTAGAAAATAAATGAGTACCCCAGATTCCCTGTGAACCCAAAAATAGTTACAAATAGAAAATATTTGTCAACCTGGACAAACTGGCTAAAAGATTTGTCTAACTACTAATATAGAAAGACCACCTGCCCTTGATTTCTGGCAAAGCCGTGGCACAGGTGTATGTTGGATTTTAATTGTTCATATTTGCCTTGCTAGAAGTTAAAAAAAAATCCTATATTTTCTCAGTGCATCTCCTGTACATGTTTGATCCCATCTGATAAGAAACAGCTATAGGAATGCTCATAGATGTTAAACAAAAAACACTGGATATACACTTCCTGGTAAGAAAGCACCTATACAGGGGCTCTAGCTCCAGTGGAAAACAAGCTTTGTAAAATTTATTTCAGCAGAGAAGCATGTGGACAATAGCTGAGGAACATTTTGATTCATTCATAAGCTGAGTTACGGCGTTATCACAGTATCTGACATATCTCAGAACTTGGGTTTTCCCACCATAAATGTACATTACATTCATTCATCTGAGATGACTGCTGTAGAGAGATCTAAACTTCCTCAAAAATATGCTCCGTATGAATGCAAACTGGTATTATTCATCCCAATTTCATCATTTGCAAGGAAATTTCCCTCTGAAGAGACATTCTACAGCCTGAGGCTGCTCAGCAAAGGAGCTAATACCTTCCCTTACCCGTCGCCTGCTCAGCTGCAAAGACTCGAGGAAAAGAAATCCAGCACAGCACAGTGCAAGACCCGAAGGTCAAGGGCCCACACAGTGCCGTGCTGTGTGACATTGCTCGATCATTGAGCTCCATCCCATATGCAACAGCTTTATACTCACCACTTAATAACCAGGAATCTAATTAACAGAACCTGGTGAAATGTAAGTCTCAGTTTCTTGTTCTAATAGAAGCAAATGAGGACATAGAAAATGTACCACCTGAAGACGCGGACATTTCCTGGGAATGTTTAGCGTGTCTATTTAGTCTCTAACAACCCAGGAGTTATTACAATAATTTGGGATTCTTCCACAATGTTTTATTTAGGCAATACTAGGAAGTAGTCCAACCACATACTGGGTAGAAGGAGCCACCCATTTAACTTGACAAAATCCACCACAGTAATCCTCAAAAATGAAATTTCTGCATCAGATAATCAGGAGTTCCTGGGTATTTGATTAAATACCCCAGGTATTTGATCCCCAACCTACTTTCATTTCTCCCTCCAACTGACAAAGAAAAAAAAAATTAGACCAAGACGCTGAAGAAACAAAGTGTGTATTTTAATACCGAAATGCTTTTACCTACCTTCCTGCTGTGAACGAAATGGGCCAGGCTTTCACAACGTCAGTCAGCTTAACTCCCAGCTGGCGGCACTGGGAAAATGGAGCCAGACAGTCTTATTGCTGTTTCTGTCCTTTAACTGCCAACTGGAATACAATAGAGGAGTCAAGGGGAAACAGTGGCGAGGAAGAGCCAGGGGGCCGGAAGGAGACAAAGCAGCAAAGAAAATGCCCATGCGTCAGACACTGGGTTCCACGGCCGAGGCATCCCAGGCCATTTTCTCATTGGAGGTAATGATGCCTCAATTCATCGGCTCCTCTTCCCTCAAACATGTATGGTATTTTACAAGTCACACATCACGTAGTAAGCACTTGTCTTTGCAACATTTTAGGAAGGGCCACAAGTAAGGCTTAATCAAAAAGATGCAGACTGTGTATCTAGGGATTTTAGTTTAAACATACAGGATCGCAATGTTGCAAACATTAACACTTTTGAACTACAAAAAAAATTTCCATTTGGACCAATTATAGCATATGTACTGCACAAAGGGAGCAAGATATTGGAGCATCCTCTTGTATGCACAAACCCTTGGAATTTACTTACAACCAGTTCCTTCCACATCCGGCTGTTGGCTTCTGTACTCTTTTGTTTTGTTTTCATCAAGCATATTCTTATAACAATAAGCACAAGGCTACCACTTACCACAAAATCTTTATTTCCCTTTTTAACTTTACATTTTTAACACTTTAACTTTCCCTTTTTAACACTCATAAATAAGCTATTATCTCTGGCTTGTTCACATGTAGAATTCACAAATTAAATGCCAAGCTTCAGCAAGAATTAGAAACAGTATTTTTTCCCTTATATAAATAAAATGGATATAATTTATATTTTATTTAAATACAGTTTTCTAAGCTGTAAAGGATGGGGAAAGAGTACAAATAATTTGACTTGAACATAAATAAAATCAATAAATAGTCCAACTTTAAATATCTCAAATTGGTCACAGGCTAGACAGTGTGTATCAGAGTTATAATGCAGGCTTCTGTATCACAGCAGTAAATGTAAACTTGCTTGAGAATGGGAAGATGATGTGAGAGGGTGCAACCTAACCTCATCACATGGGGAACCCAAAATACTGCACTTTCCAGTTATCTTATTAGTAAGGATCATCTCTACAATAGTTTCCTTAATAGAACATTGTCTTTGGATAAAATCAGAGTCCAAGTGGAACAGATAACTTTGGCTGTTTCAGTCAACCTGAAAGTTCAGATGAAAGAAAGCTGGATAAGAACTTTCTACTAGTCAATAACAAAAAAATACTAAAGTCATAAGATACGTTATGATTCACTTGCTAGAATTTTATATTTCAACTTTCTTATAATCAGTCTGATCCCACAAGGTACTGAGCTATATATAGCTCAAATTATATCCACCTCTTAGTAAAGCAAGGTGATTATCTGGAAATTTTCTACTTTAAAGCCCGAATTATCTTCCTTTAATCATCTGCTCTGCTCAAATTCATTACAAAAATGACCAATTTACTACCTCACTTCACACGAGGTAGACAATACTACCGAATGTGTGTCCCAGAGTAGAACTACCAAGTGCTACCTGGGGACAGATGAGCACACTATAGTGTGCGAGAAACTTAAATCGTTCCAATTACTCTTTTGCTTATAAAACTATTTCTATACCCTCCATTCAGTTTGTAAAAATACACACACTGAAACAAGACCTATTAGCATACAACATTTCCTGCTTCTGCAAAGCAACTCACAATAAATCTCTTACCTTGTAGAGAGATGGAAGAGCCCAGGGCTCATAATAGGATGAATGATGCATAAATGTTCTTTAGCTGACTTCCCGTGGGATTTATGCTTCCCAGCTAGGAACACCGTCTGCCTGCCTGGGTGGAATGCTAAGCAAGACAGTAAAACAACCAACACACTATGTATAGAATTTCAGCTCTGAGAAATCTAGAAGAACCTGTAAAATAAATAAGCAAACAAGCAAGTATATATCTAAAACTCCCAGCACAAGTTAGTTGGGAAGACATGCAGTTTTAAACAAGGGAGGTTAGTGATGGGCTTGTATGTTTAAGTTAGACTGTGTAAATGGTATGTTTCTGCTTAGAAACAGAAAGATTATTTTATCTTTGGTTAAAAGACCAGACAGGCACTGTCTTATATTGTGTAACACAGGTATCCCACCAGGAAATTACTGAATTACAAATAAAATGTCAGCCAAGGAATTATATGTTTTTAAAAGCATTGAAGAAATTTTTAAAAGCAAATCTAAGAAGCATAAATGAGATAATTTTATATGCTATAATTATAATTAAATAGCCACATTTATTTGTTGGAAAAATCATTACTAATCTTTTGAAGATATAGTTTCAAATCACACTTGTTTCCAATCTAAATTTAGCCTCTGTTCCCTTCGTCATATTTCTTCAGGCATGAGAAGGAAAATCAATGTCCCTACTCACCTTTGGAAGAATTTCACTGCCATGTCTCCATGGTTCTATAGGATTCAATAATCCGTGGCTCAGTATTGATTTTTCTATGACACCTGTAGAAACAGTCTCTCCTTCCTTTCTAACAAATATAGCAACAAAAATCATGTAGTTTCTGAATGAATTAAAACACAGGTAATTAAGCACAACTTCATCCTGTAAGGAAATGTGGTTTATATTTTCTGAGGATGTTACTATTGCTTGCTTGCTCTGAGCCACTTAATAGTTATTTAAAGAAAATGTGCATGTCTATTTTTGAAGGTAATTTGAATGTAATTTCTTTAGGTTTCCTGCAGCTAACTCATATATTACAAATAGCATTTGCTTTCCAAAGGAAATAGACAAATGTTAAAACCTATCAAAGTTCAAGTCTCAATTTTAAAACATCTCCAAAATCGAAATTCTTCTTGAATATGAAAAACCACAGTCATGTTCTTAACACCTAAAGTGTGGTAAGGTAGATGACGGTGAATGGACTGGATTAGAATGTACCAAGTTCTAGAAAAAAGAGTGGGTTAGAGTTGAGTCTAGATTTTATAGCATTTTACAAGCACCAGAAGGACAAATGAGCCAGCAGGGTTCCAACTTTCTTTGCCAAACACAGATGCAAATATATGCATATATTTGCAAAAAGCCATGTTTCCAGCATTCTTCACACACCTGATTTAAACCCCCACTTGTTTCACCGTGGGCAGACCTCTCTGTGCATGTCTGAATACATCCCCTGCAGCCATTCCGCGCCGAGTGGAGTAACTACAGTAGGGATTCATCACTTGCTCCATCGGCCTGAGAATCTGCAAAATAAAAGTTCAATGTTAAAAAAAATTTCCCTTTTATGACTTCTTTTCCCAGGAAGAATCTTAGACAGGCACACACAAAACAGGTTGTTTCTCACGACCTACGTGACATCTTGGTTAAAAGTGACATGACCACGTTGCACCCTGACAGATTTAGTGTTAGGACCTGACAGATACAAACCCACAGTAACAATCTTCCTGCCACAGATAGTTAAGCTCACACTAAAACTGCGATTTGATAGTCCCTTGATTAGCTTTCGCCACAGTGCATGTGACCACCTTTCGAGTTCATTATACATTACGTTGCTCTTTCCATTACTGTCAATTTAGGCTTCACTTTACAAGAGTACAGGGAACTTAACCACTCAGCAAACCCATGCACATTTTTTGCATTAAGAATTAGACCAATCCAGAGTCCAGTTCTCAAGGAAGAAGTTCCATTATTTATCAGGCCATGTCTACACTGGCTGAGCAAAGCGCTCTGTTCAGAAGGAGAAGCGCCTTTGGCAGCTAGAGTCCACATAGCTGACCCATGGAGGCTTGGGTGGAGCTTCCTCACCTAATTACACCAGAGCAATGAAATCACAAAGCATTTGATGACAATGACCCATGATGACAAGAAAGCATGCCATGCCATGGTTCTAATTTATCTGTATGATAGTCACTTAGAAAGCAATTCAAAGGAGCTATAGGAAGAATGCATACCCTTGGCAGACCCGATGGATAGGAGTTATCATTATTCAATGTTTGGTTTAATCAGAGCCATTTGGCCAAACTACACAACTTTTAAATTCAATCGGTTTTTTTCCCCCTAACTGGTCTACATTTAGCTTATAACTCTAATCTTATATTTATGCAGAAACATTTTCAGAATTCAAATAATTGGAAAGATGATTTTTATTTCATAGAAAAAGAAAGGGTCAAAACATAATGTACATTGTGGAGGAAGTATTTATACTCCTCCTACTTACACTGCTAAGTACTAAATATGGGTGGATTCTATTCTGGTGACAGTACATTGCCCTCCAATTGTCCTGAATGTTAAAATTCTTTCAACCAATTTTTAGAATAAAAAGAGGTTTAGCAGAAATGTTCTACTAATAGCTATGAAATTATAGGCTTTCCCTTCCATCCACCCAAACATACTCTACCCAGTAAAATAACAGATACAACACTAATCACCTTTGGAAGTTTTCCAGCCTTCCCCATTGGCGACTTGGCAGAGCTGGACCAAACTGCCTTGAAAGAATTAAGCCTAACTAACTCTCCGTGAATGCTCTCCGAGGGTTTCCAGAGAATCCAATCTCGTTTTTAGAATAAAGCAGAAATGAAGCTTTAAATGTGTGGGTATCAATCAGAATTGTTACCTGAGAGGTACATTTACTTCTACTAATATCCCAAGATAGGTGAGTGAGGCTAACTCCACACCCTAATCCCCTAGAATTTGCAGCCAGGAGCATTTCAAGCTTCTTGACATTTCTAGCTGTCAATGGTCAAGATGAGCTGTTAGTCTCAGTGTTTCCATTTGAGAATCATGCAATTTATATATAGACTGTCTTTTGGCAGGGTGCAGAATTCCAACTTTGAAGATTGTCATAATAGTGGTTAATTTTTAAATGACCACTCACACTAGAAAACAAAGGAATTCTAGGTGGTCTAAGAAACACCTTATTTACCAAAGTTCATCTGAGTGGGACCACAGCTTCCTTTCCCACAGGAAATCCCTGAGATGCTCTACATTCATAAAACCACTGTCAAAACCCCTTGCCAGGGGCTGGGGATTTAGCTCAGCGGCATAAGCACCTGCCTTGCAAGCAGGCGGTCGTGAGTTCAATCCCCGGTACGGATAAAAATGAAAAAGACAAAAAAAAACAAAAAAAAACAAAACCCCTTGCCACCTCCCCTTTATGTACTTCATGAGGATGAAGATGAGGATGATAAGACAGTGAACACCCAAAAATGTGCCTGACACTGTTCCAAATCTTTGTATAAATTCACTCATTTAATTCCTCAACAACCCTATAAGATAGGTACTCTTAACCTCATTTTACAGACGAGGAAACAGAATCACAGAGAAAGCAAGTAATTTTCCCTTGGCTACTTAGCTAACAAGGAGAGATGGGATTTAAGTATAGGCAGATCTGAATGAAAACCTGGTTTACAGTGCTTCTCTTCTTCCAATCTACGTGAAATCAACGTGCCTGGAATGAAACTTTATGAACCATTGTGGCCACCAGGCTCATTTATTTACTTGTCATCTGGAGATATGTTCTTCCATATTGAACCAGGGCCTCCTTTTTTTGGAAATAGGTTCACTTGGAAGCAAAATTTATTTTCCTTCATCATCAGTTAGGGATGCCAATTACACCTTGAAAACTTAAATTTTAAGATGCTTCTGAATGTGGGAAGCCTCAAGTAAGAAGAGAACGGTAAAAAATAAAAATCATCACATAGGACCTCTGCAAAGAGCATGTATTTAAATAGAACCTTATGCAATCATATCTCCTCTGGTCAAATCCTTATATTACGTTTCGCAAGCTGGGCAAGTTATTTTAATCTCTGTATGACTTAGTTTTCTCATCTATATAATGGGGATAAAAATAATCCTACTGTTTAGGATTGTGAAGATTAAATAAATGAATTCATGCAAAATGTTTAGACCAGTGCATGGCACAGAGAGGGCCCTTGAAAAATACACACTACTGTTATATTCCACTTACTATTCCAGATGATAGCTAAGCGTTGATGATGAGAATAGGTATGAGAGACTTTAGCAGAGATTTTGGAAAGATTACTCATGGTTCCAGGAAATCTTTTCAACACACACAAGTTGGCTTTAAAAATTTACTGTCTCATACCTTCACTATTAATTTCATACTTCAGTTTTTGAAAGCACAGGTGAATCACAGACTATGAGAGAACCACCCTAAAAGTCATCAGAGCTTACAATGTTATCAAATACTCACCTAGCAAGCTAGAACGAGCTTCTCCTAAAAGGTGAGATTTTCAGTAATGAAAAAGGCTGCCGGCTTAATAATTTTTTATATTATAATCCATATTTCTGCAATTTCAATTGACCTCAATAGCTCGATTTTATGTTAATTATTGTGTGCCTCAGTGGTAGGGGAATAATTCAAATGTTCCACATGTGTCTCAGTGTGCTGTCCCTTATGCAGTGTTCTAAATGCTTGGGCTTTTGCTTATGTCTCAGCTCTCTGAGGCTACACGGCAACTTAGAAATGGCTGCTTAGGAACCTAAAATAGAAATTTCCATCCCAAAGGAGAGTAATACAAGTACTAGGAGAAAATGACTGGCGAGATGCCCGCTTGCACGGCGCTCTCTGTAAGTGCTATACACAGAAAATGGAATGGGCTGAAACTTTTTCCTCTTCAGTTCTAAAATGGGCATCAACCACAGAGCGCGTGAAAAGCTCAGGGGCTCAGCAGGAGACGCACTGAGAAGCTATTCTGGGTCTCTCTGAGGGTGCGGAATGGGTGCCGCAGAACTGGTGAACTACTTGATGGTCCACAGGAGGCTGTCACTGAGACGACCCTCTGCTTCATTTCCTGGCACCCTGTGGACCCGATCGTCTCTGACAACCTGAAGGGAAGTGAAGTCTTTATCAAGGAGCACCTTGGTCAAGGACTTAAGTGTGGAATAAGTTAGTGTGCAGCCTCAGGTGGGATAAAGGGTGTAGACGGACCTCATGGAGTTGCAGTTTAATCCTGCAATCTCACTCTGAAATGAGATGTTAGCAAACCTCAGCCTCCAGTTCTCTAGGTAAGGCCAGGTGTGCAGAACTTAGCCACCTGCCAACAGTGTCATCATTGAGGGAAGGACAGGTGTAGGATTAGATCTGGGGAAGGCAGAAGATGGCTAAAGTGTGAGAAATAAAATTAGATTTCCTGAGAGCTGTTCAGTTATTAGAAGGCCAATGGAAAGATCAGGAAAGACACAGAGACATCCAGTTTTCAACTGTGAGTTGTCTACATGGCCCGAGAGGCTGGAGGAGGCCGAGGGGCAGCAATGGACCCTGGACAACCCGGAGGACACAGAGAACAGGCATTGCGAGGAACTGGACAAGCCAGCTGGTTTCTTAGCTGTGCCACTCTTGAACCTTGTTTTTTGTTTTCTTTTCTTTTTGGGGGGTCAGGGGGGAGTTACTAAGGACCCAAGCTCTTCAGACTAAGCAATATACACAGCCTTTTTTATTTTATTTTTTAAATTTGGGACAGGGTTTTGCTAAGGTGCTAAGTTGTCCAGGCTGGGTTCAAACAAGCAATCCTCTTGTCTCAGCCTCCCAGACTGCTGGGATTACATCTGTGATCCACAAAACGTGGCTATTACCTTCATTAATATCTTTAACAAACGTAAGAAGCTGCTGCTGATACTGTGGTCACTTCAGGACTGCCCTGTCCCGGTCTGCTTTCTCTACTCTCTGCCCACCTTTCCCAGGCCATCTAATGTGCTCTTTGGAGGTTTTTACCAAAATATATATTTGCTACTTTCTTCTGGCACTTTAGTTTTTGCCTTTGTTGTTTTCTTACTGTCACACATTTGGGCTTCATTTAAGACCCTCTAAATTATTTAGCCCGTGTTCTTTTTAAAAGGATTCTATTTATTTCAGGTCACATACCGATTCTAACACATATGCTCCAAACACCAAATGGAAAGTTAATAAACAAACAAACCAGAAAGTCAGAGGGGAAAGAGCCACTCTGCCTAGAGGGGCCCTCAACCGGCCACTCCACGGACCTGCTGTCCTTTCTCATGTTCTTTATGATTCCACACAGAAATTCAACCAGGTGATTTGGTTCTTAACGAAACGAATGCGAATTAATTCCGATCATACATTTTAATGAGACAGCACTTCAGAGGCTCTCAGACATTCCAAATGCAAAACTTATCTTTTTCTGTGGCAAAACTGGAAATTCTCTTTCTTAGGAAACTTTGATTGTTTCACCTCTGTTATTTTTCACTTAATGAGACCATTTGCATATCTGCAAGGTCAGAGGAGAAAAATTAGGGTCTCGAGCTTGCCATCTCTCTCCCCACCTCCAATGCCAGGGCCACGCACACACCTCATTTCCCTTTTCTTTGCAAGTTTTATGATTTTGTAGAATTCCAAGTCCCACAGCCCGACATCAAGGCTGATCTTGCCAGTACCTTTGATTGTTCCAAAGGACGCTTATCCCAGAATGGTGACAGAATTCTTTTCAATGTTTTCTCTCCTGGTTATTAAGTGGTAGTGTCCTACTTAAAGAACAGTTATTTCTGGGGCCACTCATTTAATTCTTGGAGACAGACATTGCACTAAATATTCATTTTTTCTAATCGTCTCCTATTCACTCTATCCCCAGTATACTCGACGTGTCAGAAATAATTATAAGCAGTTTAATAAATACAGGAGACCTTTCTCGTTAATATCCTAGAATGGATAAGCACAGGACTGCTTTGTTATCATCTTTATTCTGGTTGGAATTTGCATTTAGCTTCAGCAACACGTCATGAGAAAGCACAGGCCTCAACTCCATGCTTCAGACATCCCCGGGGTCTCTCCGGCCTCAGCACGCCCTGTCCCTCACAGGTAACTGCTGATGGCAGAGGCTCGCCTTCCTCACAGCTGTCCCTCACCTTCTGTTGCCTCTTTTCATATGAGCATGATGAAGGCAGTGACTTTTCCATGTCATTCAATGATATCAGGACAGTTTGTTTAAAACAGCGTTCTCATTAAAAAGGAAGGCAGGGGAAGCAGGAGGTGATCACAGATCCACAGAAGACATGGTGTATGATCACGCCCTATCTCAAGAATGGGCACTGCCTATTCTTTTCATCAGACAAAAGTAGGACATCTATTTTGCATCTGAGGTAAAGGCAGAAGGTCTACATGGATATTTGCTTTCGAAATTTGCTGATCTCGTATATAGTTAAAACCTACTACAAAGGCTCTATTGGATCATGTCTGGGTTGCACTGTGGGATAAGCAGAGCTGTCCTGTGTGCCTCTCTCCAGCAGATGGTATACACAGGGACATTGTCCAGCCTCCTGACGATCAGCATCGCAACAGGTTTGCCGATCGCTGATTTGTCAGCTGATGCTACCTTCTCTGACAAGCTCAGGGGCCAAAAGAGTGCTAGATGAGTCCACAGTCACAGCCCAGAGGCCCTGGGCTGGCTGGAACCCCTCTGACCCAATTCTGAAAGATGAGTGTCCTGGATGGTTGTGGCTTGATGGAGAAAGTTCTTGAGTCAAGCAAGTGTGTTTCTTCTCCGCCACTTTTTGTAACTTCTTAAAACTGCTTTTGTTTCCTGAGCTTATTCTATGAAATGGTGGCACGGATTCCTTGTGGGGCTTATTAATAAATCAGGTAATATGTATGACACTGAAAGCACTGGTTTCTAGTAAAGCATCACATGAATGTGCAATATTTTTTAATCTTAAATGAAGAACTACGGTTAAGAAGCAAGTCGTCAAGACCACAGACAGAAATGCAGGCAAAAATCCATATAAAACATAGAAATAGCAATTTAATATTAAGCTAAGACTTTCTTCTAAAAGAAGTAGCACCATGAGTAAAATTTAATCTTAGGTATATATTACATTTATAGGTAATGGATTTTCAATAAATGGCTATGCAGAAAAATGCTTGAAGCTACATGCTGAATAGACATAAATTACCACCTCTTAATATTTAATGTGTATTTCATAGTCTTACGGCACCTAAGGGTCATAATTATGACTATCAAGGGCTGATTTACTAGAGGAATGGATGGAGTCCAAATGACTCTATGACATAACTAAGAATAAATTTTTGGCATTAATCCATGCTGTCCATTTTTAATACTGTCATGTGTCCCTAAGTCAAAAAAAAGTAGCGTGGCCTCAATGATTTTAAGGTATATGACCTGAGCCTTTTAGCAATTTGTTTTCTTGATAAGTGGGTATTAACCACCGTGCACATTTCCACTTCTAACATGTCATCAAGCACAAGGCCCAAACACTGTGGCTCTGGGTGGTATTCAAGGCTGGAGCTCTTCCACATCTCTAGCCTGAGGTACAGGGTTGGAAAGATGAGCAGGAAATAACTGCAGGAATGGGAAACAGAGAAGAAATAATAAGCTCTATGCTGACTAATTGATGGAACTGTCAAAACGATGAAGTGGATTAACAGCTGAGTGGGACTTCGTAAGCTTTATGGCACTAGACAAGTGTAAGGTGTGATCATTATTATTACTGTTAATAGTCTTACTCAGCGTACAATGGACGAATTAAATATAGCTGGAAAGAGAAGCATTCTTTTTCAAACGATGTTACCTTGACTCCTCCATCACCCAGTTCCTGCTCTCTCAGCTTATCTCCCAATCAGCATGAGTGACATGTCGCGTCTGCCCCTGTTTTCATCTGTTTTTGTCAGTTTGACATAGTTGAAATAGATGGGAAGATCTTGGGAAGGATAAGGTGGCTGCGAGCAAATTCTGAAATTTTAAAAATAGCTGTCTCTGCATAGCAAGGTAGAAAGGTGTCTGCATACAGGAAGGTAAAGATGTTCTTTGTTAACGTGGCTAAAAACATGTAGCAATTATTGTAGGATGGCAGAAAATGCTGAAAGCACAACACTGGCGCACTGCCTCTGTGCAGATGCCTTTGCCACAAAAGGCAGGTATGTGTCACGGGGATCTCCACTGTGCTGCTCAGCCACTTGAATCGTCTCCTTGAAATTTTACATATATATATGTGTGTGTTAATTATATATATTGTATATATATATGCGTGTGGGCATGGACACTTATGGTTGTATAATTACAAACACACAAAAATACATCATGTAAGGAGTCAGGGCATGTTTATCAGAATGCTGCAAAACTCAGCAATGTCATCCATAATCATAGGTAAGCCACTTAAAAATAAAACTAGAAAAGTAGATGTTCATTTCTCCACCATGGTAGGGAAAGATTGATTTTTAGCTCTTTAACAAACAAATGCAGATGTCTTTAAAATATTGCTATAAAGACAGTGGAGGCCCCAGAGCTGAGCAGGGAGGGAAAGACGTCTAAAATGGTCACATTTTAGCAGCACAGTGATAAGTGAACGAGGGAGGTTTATATATGCTAGCCTGGAATAATTATATTCCATACAGTAATGGGGAAACTCGTAGAACATTAAATATAATATGGTCTCATTTACGTTTTGCACACATACAGATTTAAGTGTATTCACAGACAAAAAGGGAAAAACAAACAAAAAAATCAATCCATTAATTATTGTTCTAACTTGGAAGGGAAGTGAAATTGGGACAAAAAAGGCGGGAGGTTGGAGGGGGGTTCTTTTTAATCATTAAATTTGATTGGGGTTGCTGTTATTTTATAATGATTTTTTTTTAAATGAAAGAGCTGCAAACCAGAGCACTGTACTCATGGAACACTGAGCATAATAAAAGTCTTCTCTAATCAAGTTCTCCATCTGTCTGTTGGTCACAGAGTTCTGTAAACTTAATATTTTTTAATGATGGAAATAGCACCTTTCCTGGCATATGGCCACTTACTTTTCACAAGTACTTCCAAAGCTCCATCCAGGACACTATGCCCATGGAAACGCCACATCTAAGGAACAGAAAACTCTAGTAAACACATTGTACTGTCACTTCACACCCATGGCAAAAAGGATTGTCCTTCTTGCTAACTGGACACAAGAGCATACTGCAGGTAAAAATCACACTCTCCTTATCAAAAATCTACCTACAAAAATCTAAATATAGAAAAAAAAACAGTAAAATTTTCTTTGGTAATCCATAAGTAATTCAAGAGTTTGTATTGATATAACTCAAAATTTTATTTGTGACTGAAATAAGAGTTCCTCTTTATTTTCATGGAGAGAAAAACCAAAGCAAATGAATTACCAGTGGAAATAAAGAGCTGACTGGGGGTCAGAAGGGAACCATACTCAGGTGCCGGCTGACTGTGTGAGTAAAGTGTTACAGGAACAGAATCACATTTGCTCATTTGTGTGTCGTCTCTGGTTACTTTTCAGCTATAGCAAAGAGGTGAATATTCACATCAGAGACAATATTGTTAAAATAGTCACTAAACCAATTCAATACAGGAAATATTTGCTTATCTCCAATATCTTTACAAAAATTGGACCATATAGTTGCAAAGTGGGATATATGTGTGTGTGTGTATTTTCGAGTTTGGTGTATTCTTTTGAGACGTCTTTCTTCAAGAAGCAATTCTAAGAAAGGTTCATGAAGGCATGTATGCTTTGTTCCCTCTCTAATACTAGAAGAAACAAAAATAGAAAGCAAATAGATAGTATTGTAAAACATACGTGGAGGCAATATAAGTTAGAGTGATTTTGCAAGCGATGTTTTTAAATCTGAACTCTCAATTCATTCGAATTCATGTTTGGCAAAGGCTCAACTCTTCTGTCGGGTGTGAATAAAGCAGGATGCAGAGCTGACTGATGTGAGCATAATGGGTCTTATTTAAACAGTCTTTATAAGTGTTGGTAATAGTGTGAGCATTTCCCCAATTCCTGAATGTCTCAACTTTACCCTGAAAAAAGAGTGGCCAAAAAATTAAAAATTGCTTAAGCTAAATTTTCACAAAACAGTTGCATGAATATAGTAATGCAGTCTACTGCCAAAGACACTCTGTTTTAATTCTGCCTGGCAAGTTGGCTGGGCTTGTTTGGCATTTCATTAACAAAAAATAAACCTCACTTTTCTTCCTGAGAAAATAGCATGTGTAGTATTTTTAGGACAGCAAAGCTTAGCATGCTACATCTTGATCTGAAAAATATATATTCCTGAAATGTGGATAAGTAAAAAGCCTTTCTCTGCATAGTAACTGGTCACTGTGGAAAATTCGTGTCTTAGGGATGTGACTGAATAGAAGTGGCACAAAATATATGTTTAAAAATCACAGAGAGCACACTTGTAATCCCAGCACTTGGGAGGCTGAGGCAGGAAGATCACGGTGAGTTTGAGGTCACTTTTGGTTATGCAGTAAGCTCAACTACATAGTGAGAACCTATCTCAAAAGCAAACAAACAAAAACAAATATCACAGAGAAGGAGTATTCTAAAATAGTAAAAGAAACAATCCAGAAATGGAGAAAATAGATGCCTGAGACACCTTTACATCTGTGAAACTTTTACACTATGTGCTCTTTGCAAGCCAATAACATTAAATTTTAATTTCTCTGGGGGTAAAATATAGGTAAGGTGTTAGTGTTAGAAGACAAAAATAAAGATAACTTGAAATCTGTGGTGCAGTTACTATTCCTCAGAAGGAATAAAAGCTAAAATTAAAGGATATATCTATTATTTATCATCTATCTATTATCAAATATCTATCTATCTAGCTACACAACTCAATTTTCATCATTGGAACAGCAAAAGATCTTTCCAGTTCTGTGGCAAATAAATTTTCGAAAATGCCTGAATATAGTGGAAAAAAATAAATTACTAAGAGTTACCAACAGACTGCATAGCTCTTATGTATGTAAATTTGGAAAACTGTACAGTTCACGCTACCACTGGATTGATTATACACAAGGTATAGTTATGGCTAAGAATACCTGGAATGAGGAGAGAACAAAACGAATAAAAGGGATCCTGGAGGAGGTGCTATCCTTGTTTTGACTAAAGGAAAACTAGCAGTGACTCAGGGAAGAGGGAGATGTGAGTTGGAAGAGAATGAGACCCTGAACACAAAGGCAGGATATACCGGATATGTAGAACCCTAAGGTGTTACATGTCAGGGGAGAGCAACACTGACAGAAGTACTTGAGGAAAAGCTAGAGTATGGAAGGAAGCCATAGGTCTACAGTAGAATGTAGGTTAGGTCTGTCTTCTACTTGATCTCACATGATGAGGAAATACACGAGGAACTTAAGCTTGCAAGAAGCAGGGGTGCACAGTGGGTTCATCTGAAGCTACAGGGGTGTTAGAAGAAAGGCCGTCCAGGTTGTGTCAATGTCCAAGCAGGATGTGAACCATTGCTGGTGGCCATAGTTCCGGACTACAACAGTAGTAGTGATAAAGATCACTATAGATGAATTCAAGAAATATTCATGACAGAAAATTAGTGGGTCCTGGTAATGGGCTTGATGTGGAACACAACCAAAATGGGCTTATGACTCTTGGGCTTTTGGTTTTGATGGATAAGTAGATAGTGATGCACAAACATGACAGCACAGAATGAGAGAGCAGGAGAACAAGGATCAGGTTAATTTCACTGTGCTGGGTGAGAAGGTGCCTGGCGAACAAGGCAAGCAGCAGCTTGATGTTGGAGTCAGAATCACAGGAAAGGGACTCAAGCTACACATAAAACTAATGAGTGATTGCCAGTCATGACAGCGGCTGATATGACCCAGGGAGGATGGGAAACACAAATAACCTGAGGGTGAATTCAGGGAAAGAGGAAGAAGACAAGTCCATGACAGCCAGAGAAGAAACGATGAGAGAAGCTTGTGGAGGACATGGTGCCACAGAAACCAGGAAAGCAGAACTCTCAGGAGGAAGAAGTGATCAGTGGACCTGAACACATGGATGTGGAAAAGAACCAAAAAACCTGTTTGAATTTTGCAGTCCAAACCATTATTTATTCCATGTTGAAGCAAAAAGAAGCAGTAGGTGGCGGGAAGTATGTAGCAGAGACAAAGAAACACCCAAACTATGCACAGTGAGTTCTTGAGAGATTTAAATGAGATGAGGAGGAGAGAGGTCAGAAGATGAAGAGAAACCAGGATCCAGGTGCGGATGTTCAGGACAGGAGAAACAGGGACATCCACTGAGCCAATGAGCATCAAAGCCTGACTGGTGGGCCAGTGCCAGCCATGGCTGATCTACTCTCCTTTCCTTGTCATTTGGACCTTTCTTTCCCCTGCCACCTTCCCTGCCAATCTGAGGCAATTTGGGCAATTTGCTCTGGTCCTAGGATGGCAGTCTCTTTAGCAAAGAAAAAAACATGGACCAAGATGGACTCAGATTCACCACTGTCTTACTAAACTTCTCAATCAGACAAACATTTCTTAAGTAATTGCTATCTTCTAAAAATCTTTCTTTCCTGTTGAAGCACTGCCCAACTCTTCATGACAATACTTTTGAAGTAGATGCACATTGTAAGACATAAGATCTCCTGTATTGGTGAAATCATTGTCATCAGTACTTCTGTGGATTGTAGGACTTCCTACACCATGAAAGGACACTGCAGGATAGTTAAAAGAAGTTCATTTGGGTATGAACAGATATTTTGGTTTTTCCTGGCTCCTGTCACTGCCTCACAACGTGACCTTAAACAAGACCTTCTCTGACTTTTCTTCAATATAATTGAACCCAGCCACTTCTACTTCATGATTTCCTCTTTCAGAATTTTCACTTAAGAGAAAACTGTGGTAACTAGCCCAGTTACATACTCTACCATTTATGAAATTAAGTCAAAGTATGTTTTGTGGCAGATGAAGAAAATACCAAGGAGTCCCAAGGTCACAAATTAGTGCATACACCTTAGGAGAGAAATCCCTACTGGTAACAATTAGAAAGGAGAGCTCTACACAGCCTTCTCTGTTTTTCCAACGCAAAGCTTATTTGAATCGCACAATATTTTCTTTGCTTTCAAAGTCCAACACCAAGAGTTTGATGACAAATCAAAGCAGGATTGTTCCAGCCTCAGTACACATGCCAGCGTCTCCAAAAGCAACGCTACAGCGACAATTTCTGAAGACAAATGATTCATTTCTGTTTCTGCTCTATTCACTAGCAGAACATAACCACAGTTGAGATTCAATCTGAGGCTCAGTCATACAAAAACTGTTGCCATACACACAGCAGTTTCTCTCTGTAGTGTCTCCCCAGACAATGCTGGATAAATGACCTCAAAGAACTCTGAGAGTCTGCGGGGGATGGGAGTGGGGGAGGCACAAAATTAAAACTTGCTTTGAGCTTTGTATGAATTTAAGCAAGCATACTTGAGATCTTGGAGATAAAATGGAATAAATTAAATAGTAAAGAATATTCTTCTTTTCTTCTGTATTCCAGAAACAGAAAGAAAAAAAAAAACATGCCAGTAAATACGTCTGGGACCTTTTCTAGAATTTTCAAGGGGACTCTCTCTGTCCTAACATAGCCTTGCTCTAGGAGTAAGATTTTTGTCAGAGAAGCAACAATTTCAAACAAATTTTAATTCCTTTGTGTCCTTTCCTGCTTCTGAACCCTCTTCTACAGTCCTGCATTTCTTCATTGTCTCTTGTTTTGCGTGGTTATTTCTCTCACAATGAATGAATTTATATTACGTTGTTTTCTACAGCCTGAATCCAACACTTGTTGATTCTCTCACCTGGCTTCTCGTGGCCTCTCTTATCTGATCCTGTGATACTTAGAAATTAATACACCTTCTCCCTGTGGTTCTTGGTCTTCATGATTAAGCCTAGCGCCCAAAGTGCAGCAGACTTGCTGGGGGGTCCCAGAGCTATCATCTCCCCACTTCCCGCTTTGATTTACACACTGATATTTCACAAGAGCGTTGCTCACTTCCTGGTGAGTCTCACTCCTCTGCCTGGTTTCTTAGCCCGCTCTGGTGAGTCATCCTCAGGCAAATCATCTCAGCGCCCACAGCATCCAACGGTTCCTCTTTCACTTTAAAACCTCCTCCTCCTCAAGTGTGTCCTGAATCTGTACGCAAGTCTTCACATCCGTCTGTCTTCTCCATCCCTTCCCTTAACAATGTCCATCTCTAGTCTTCCGTAAGAAGTCAACTTTCCTGGTAACAACTGGAAGCCAAATACCCCTCAGCTGCAATTTCTCAACCATTCTGGGCTCCATCTTTTCTTCATTATTTAAAATTACCCTATGATTTGGATGTTTCATGCTTGCATGACTTCAGTAGTATTTTCTTACTCTAAATTTATTGTTTCTATTTCCTTTATTAAAATTTAAATTTCCTAAGTGTAAGAATTACGCTATAAATCTTTTGGTGTAGTGTCCAGTCATAGTTTTTAAAATGTAGAAAATCTAATAATAAGAGTAAAAATACAAAGAATTATGCAAATTTACCTGTTCTTCCCTGAGGACATGAGTGACCAATTCATCGTGGTAACCACAACCGCGTAGCTTGGCCTCGTCTGCTCCCCAGTGAGTCCTGAAAGCACTAAGCCTGTTTCTTACCTTGCTGTCTGTCCTGTGAAGCTAATCCAACCATAAACTTGCCTTTGAAGTCAACTGGAACATCATGCATGGGTGAGCTCCAGAGAGCACACAAAAGAAAGAAAGGAAAAAAGAAACTGTGCTATTTCTGAGTTTCTGCACACACGCAGGCATCCCACAGACTTCAGGGGCTGCAGACGAGGTAGGAGAAGAAGGTGAAGTTACGAAAGTCTTGGAAAGGAGCAGCAGATAAAGCCGCAATAGAATGAAGATTTCATTTCCACATAAATCATTCATATTTTTTTTCATTATCAACAGTCCTACAAATGACAAACAGAAAATTCTTTAAAGCAATGAAACCACTCCCTGAAAATGTCAAGCCCTTCTGCCAATGGCATCCACTTCTCATCTAAGGTATAAAACTTGCCCTGTAGTCTAGCATTTGGTTCCAGAAAACAAGTGTTTATCCCGAATCTTTACTGAGAAGGAGCTACATGCAACAGGTTGAAAGCACCGTCTACAGCCTCAAAAAGCACAAAGCAACTCTCACAGCATACAGCAACCCACAGCCACTTCACTTACAAAGAGCACCCTCAAACAGCACCAGCATGCAATGCAGCATTGCAGGTGAAATATAGTTTAATACTATGGAATTAACATTACTCTAATCCCATCCTGCAAGGCTACACTAAAGGCTGTTTTGAAAACTAACTGTATTATGCACACACCTCTTGATCCTGTCAGTCCTTTTCTAAGAACAAATTATATTGAAATAAAAGAACCAAAACACAAGAGGACTCACTACTTCAGTATTTGGGGGTAGGCTTTCTTTACTGCTCCAGACTTCTATAGTAAATGGTTTAATATTAAGAATTTCCTTATCATCCTCGTGGTTATGATGCCAGACATATGGGAAGCAGCTCAAAAATATTAGAGGTATTAGGGTCCTTGTTTCAAAAAAGAAAATATGTTTCAAATGTACAAAGCATTTTGCCCACAGTAATCGTAGGGCTGAGTGACAAGCATGTGGGGCACAGCTGTAATCTCAGCACTCAGGAGGCTGAGGCAGAAGAATCGCTGAATTTGAGGCTAGTGTGCGTTATGCAATGAGATCAAGACTAGCCTCAACTATGTAGCAAAACGTCGTCTCAAAAAAAAAAAAAATAGTAAGGGCTGATCATTTAATATAATTTGGTTTGATTCCGGATCCTGTACTCTGCTTGACATAAAGTTTGCTACTTCTGAGCCCTGAAATGAACGAGGAAAGCAGACACCAGCTGAGAAGATCCTCAAATGGCACCACCTTATTCAGAGTGTGTGCGCAGGTCTCGGAATATTAGCTTCTCACAAACCACTGGAGACCCTCCAATCACGGGGCTCCAAACTCCAATGTAAAAGTGGCAGAAGCTGTAACAAGTCAATGTAGCCTAGAAAAATGAACATGCACCTGAAAACCTGAAACTCATTAATTACTGAGGAGAAATGAATTCACCAGAGATCCAAGAAAATGGCTCTGTGCCCCTGGACTTTGCTGGAGGGCTATAACCTGGATTTTATATTTAAATATTTCAAGATGAAGCCTAGGAAGTACCATTTAAAAGCACCATTATCCAAAACATTTTGGCTACATTATTGGGGCAAAGACCTCACTGGTGGTGAATAATTGACGTCCAAGTTAAATGGTTATGGAAGAGACACTGGAGATATACCCAAGGAGGCGTGCCATCTGCTGAGAGCAAAATATGCCAGGAAACCCCCTCTAAATCATGGCCTTCCGGGGTACCAAACTAAAACTTTTTTGTGTGTGTGTGCTGGGGCTTGAACTCATGACCTTGCGCTTGGCAGGTGCTTGTGCTGCTGAGCTAAACTCCAGCCCCTAAATCTAAATTTGAAAGAGATGCCGGGCAGTGTGAGCTAGCAAGTGAGAGGAAAACTGTGAAAGAGATGAGTATACAATCAAACAATTGATTTTTCCCCCAAATTTTATCTCTTCTCATTTACAAATTTGATCGTATACCATGCTCCCCAATGTTTAATACTTTCATCTTCTCAAGTTTTTGTTTTGTTTCTCTTGTTTGCAAACAGTGGAAGCCTAAACGTACACTGTTGGAGACAGGTCAGAAATAATGCGTCTTAGCCTCCTGTCTTCCTGTTCCTCCTCTCTGGCTGGGGAGTGGGACGGCAGGCACAGGGATCCCGTTGAAGAACTTCCCTGCCACCCTCTCATGCTGTTTGGAGCTCAGAGGTGCCTCCTGCAAAGGCTGTCAAAGTGTAGTGCAGCTGGGGGACCACAGGGAGGGGTGCCCCTTACTGGGGAGTGGCGCAGAATTTCAGGGAGGAGGCCCATCCTGACTCTGCGACCACTGCCTGCTTACACGGGAGGAAGTTCTCCCTCCCAAAGACACTGGGAGACATGAGTGCCAGATCCTAGAGAGACTGCTGCCACTTGGGCTCCCAGGGGACCCCCCCTAAGTGTCCTTCTGCCTGATTCTCCCAGGGGAGTCCAGTGCAAGTCCCTTCCTGTAAGAGGATGGTCCGTCTCGGGAGAGTTAGCCTCTCCCTGTCTTCACAGGAAGGACATCCATCCTTCCCTGCTTAGAAAATGCCACGAGCTGCCCATAGGAGGAGGGAGGGAGGGATGCATGTGCATTTTCTACCAAATTCTTCCCTGCCTGGGCAGAGGTCTCAGAAATAACCAGAAACTCTGCTCTCTACAAAAGACAAACACTACAAGGTAAAAATGAGAAAAGTTAAGCCATCACTGGGCTTTTGCTTTTCAACATGAGTAACTAAGGGCAGAGGTTTAAATTGAAGTGAAATTTCAAAAAATATTTGGCTGGTTAAAGTCTGGCTTTCTTGGAAAATGATGACAAAAACATGCCTACAAAATTATTGTTTTTATTTACAGCCTTAAAATGTTATATTCAAGCTAGAAAATGAGAATCGAATCAATCCCAAAGCTCTTTGCTTAATGTTAGATTTTATTTGGAACGATGTTTCTTATCTGTGTGGCTAAGTGGCATAATATTTTTTTATGCCAGAGAATGAAGTACAGGCTTTGTATACCCATGAAAATTAAATATTTGTTTTTTGAGAAAGGGTCACATTAGGTAGTTGAAATTGGCCTTGAACTTACTATGTAATCCAGGTTGGCCTCAAACTCATAGCAATCCTTCTGCCTCAGCCTCCTAAGTGCTGGGATTACAGGCATGTACCACCACGCCCGGCTACCACATAATACAGTTTGAAACTTTTTCCATCATGTAAAATGTACTAGCTCATCTTCTCAAGACAGTGAGGAAATTGAAGTATTTCAAAAGATAGATGCATAAGCAACAATGCTATTTTAAAATCACTTTTCTTATATTAATGTACAAATTTTATTTTATTTTTTTAAAATTTTATTTAAAGGAAGACTAAACAAAACAGAAAATGGGTAGAAATAATACATATGTTCAGAGAAAAAATAAACAGTATGAAATCACTAGTTGATGTTTATATACTGTCCTTTTACAAATAGTTGTTCAAGACACAAAAGTGGAGCATATAAAGTGGGAATTCAAACAGCAAGACTGCACACAGTTCTGTTCAACTACCCAGCAAAAACTTAGTAACATGGTTGTCAATCCTATACATTTAAGCATACGTGCAGTTATCCATACCTTCATTTATGTTGAGTTAATGTACAAATTTTAGAAGAATATCAGGAAGCATAATTAAGGCAATAATAAATTCCCGTAACCTTCCAGGTCCAACACACATCCACTCACATTTTGTTGCAATCTTTAACAAAGGGAGGTCTTTGTAAGTTTTCATTGTTTAATTATTAAAAGTGCAACAGAGCCAAATGGTCTAAAAGTTCTCATGGAATAAAAATCTTGTGGTTTTGCTGATGAAATCAACTGAATATCCTAAAATCCATTTTGGAGAGCTAGCTTTTATTTTAAATATTCTTTGTTTGGTTCACATAACAAATAATCTGAACCATATTTTGAGCTTAAAAGCTATATTTGATTATTAATATTGCTTTCTGCGCGTGAGGAAATAACTTTTCCCTTCATGGTACTGAAGATAATTGCTGATAGTAATTTCACCACACTATCCAATTAGTTCTTTATGGTTCTTTTTCTCTCTCCGCTTATGTTATGGTTAATGAGGGAAAGATCACATTGTTTCTTTATAAAATTCTTTACAGTGCGTTAGCAACTCTGGTTGGATGACATAAATATGCTGAGTGGCAGACTGTACAATAGTTAAGTGAATGAAAGACTGTAAATCTTTTCCAAATTTGTGACAATAATCACGAATATCAGGTCAAAGAGATATCAGTTACAAAGGCTCTATACTATATCAAATTTTATCCAACTTGGGGTGGAAAAAAATAAAATTCCCTGGACTATTTAAAAATTCTGAACTCTTTAAAACATTTGTTTTCACTGCACATGGTGATGCATGCCTGTAATCCCAGCACTCGAGGAGGCTGAAGCAGGAAGATCTCTGTGAGTTCAAGGCCAGCACATGCTATGTAGTGGCTCAAGGCTAGCCTGAGCCATGTAGGGACATCCTGTTTTTAAAAAAGTTTTTTTTTGGGGGGGGGGGGTATTTATGGGAAAGAATCAGAAATTTACCACTACATGTAACCACACATCTAACTGTATTCACCCAGTCAAAAATTCAAATAGTACTATTAAAGTGATAAATGGAGGAAGGACTTAAAATGTCCATAAATATTAGAAATCCAGGGGGTATCTGGGTGAAATCAAGTGGACAGAATTTCATGGCACCGAGCCATTAGAATTAAAGTGAATTCTCTCAGACTCTGAGTTCAAGTATTTCTAGTGTTTTGAAAGTACAGATAATTCTGCACCGTATCACACCCTCACTTGTCAAAACCATCTCCCGGGACTGAGGGAAAGTCACAACCAACTCCAACACCATCGGTGCCTCATTTCCGCTACGTTCTGTGCACCTTCTGGTTAACTTCCTCGTCACTGAAATGATCTACCATTCTCAATGTTCGTTTAAAATTAAAATTAAAAGCTGCTAACACGAAACTATTTTTGTAAATGTCACCAAATGGAATTTTTTTAAAGATCAACAACATCATCATACAACTTGTCCTAAAAATGGAATGGTATTATTCGTGCGTCACTTACAGCCTTTACATATTAAGTCTCCAGACAACCAACCAAACAGAACCCTCTAGAAACTTTTGGTGTTTTTAATCTTTTGGCCAAAATAAGTTATTAACTTAGCATATTTATAAGTATCTTTCTTAGGCATTCAAATTAGTATTCAATATGGATTCAAATGAACATGACTCTACATTCAAATTAATAACCAACACCCCCAAACGTATATTAAGGTGAACTGAAGAGGGAGAGGCTTTCTTTTTACAAAGAGACAACATCCAGTTAATTCAGAGGAAAACAAAATCTTCAACCAGCTTAGCTGATTGGAATTGCATTGAAAACACTGCTGATTAAATATTTCCCTTTCCCACTGCCTGTGGCGTGTTCTTAGGGCAAATCGCAGGGGCTAAATTTTGCTCTCCGTTTGCTGGTCTCTTTGTGCACCCAGGTGGCAGTGAGATACCAGCAATTACACCCTGGAGCTGAGTGCCAAGGTTCATGCCTGAAATTAGTGTCAAAATGAAAGGCCCATGGAAAGTTGGGGTCAGAGGAGAGACAAGCTCGTCCTCTGTGATCCACGGACATCAACACAGCGTGAGTTAAGTGTTTGGAGCACGGTTCATTTTTGGAACTCGCACGGCCTGCTCAGCTGCTGCTGTTACAATGCAGACTGCAGGAAGAGTCCTTGCATCTAAAGCAGGATGGCTCCAACCTTGTGTCCGAAACTTCATCCTTGCTGTATCTCAACTAGCATGTGGGAGCAGCTCCAGAGGTGCAAACCCCCAAAAGTTGGAGAGCACACACACCTGTTCCACTCACTGGTTTAGGAAACAACTTTTCCAGTTTGCTTTACCCAGAAAGTTAAAATGTCCTACACATATACAAAGTAATAACAAGGTAAGCCCCATATTCATTTCTACCTTTGCAAATCTAATTCTTACTGATAAAATAACAGAAGTTGTTATATAGTAGTTGCTTTAAGAAATACCCATGTGGGTCTCCATATGCAGTAAAATTTCTGTCTTAATAACTTGGGTTTGAATACCTATGATAAAATATCTGAATCTATATTATCTCTTTATCCATCTATGTACCTTGCAATCTCAAGACTACAATTTTTAGTAAACTTTAAAAAAACATAAATAAAATTAACTTTGAAAGCTGCTCGTTAATAGAGGAGACTCACACTAGATATGTGAAGGTTGATTTGGATTTATTGCTAAAAATTCAACATGTAGTGTTAACTAAGAAAACTTTATAATGGATAAGGAAATGGCTTTTCTTGGGTAGAGGAAACCAGCTAGGTGCCTGTTGGATTGTGGGCCTGAATGTGGAAAAACAAACATGAACACCTTGGGATTTGATTTTCAAAACACCAGCAGTTTGCTTTATTTCAAAAATAATGTATGAATATTGGCAAAAGTGACACCTTTTCCATCAAGGGACAACTTACTCTATTAAAAGGCAAAAGCATACTTGAAAGTCAGAATATATATATATATTCTGAAACAGGATCTCTAACCTGAATATAAATATCTAAAGATCTTTGGAGGCCTTGGGTTATGGAGTCAGGAGAACTGTTTCATGTTCTCCTGCACCCTTCTCTTTAGCTATCCTCCTCTGTTTCCTTCTTTCCTCTTCTCTTCCTCGTCTCAAGTGTGTACTAGCTGTCACCCCTAATGCCAGGCACCGTGCTAGGCAGTGGACCTCTGCTCCCAAACTGTCCAGTCTTACTCCCTCTTTCTTCCCTGCCTTAGTTCACTGCCAGCCCCCTGAGCTCCACGCCAACCTGCCAGCTGGACACATCCACAAACACAGACACAAGAACCTGTGAAGCTACATCTAGCCTCCAACTGTCTCAGTTGTTGCAAATGTCGTGGATCAACTGATCCATGCAAATAGAAGACTATTTAGGATTTTGTTCCAAAGACAGGCTTGCTTTTACTCAGATTGCCTGAGGGTAGAGACTTTGAGAAAGCCAGGGCAAACTTGTTTTTAATGCAGGAACGATCCAAGAAAATCCAAAACAAACTTCATGGGGGTAGTGAGAAAATTAGCCTTCCAGTACAGAGTTTGTGTTTAGTGACAGGCAATGGTGCAGTTAGAAAGACTGAGCTCAAATGATAAAAGACCTAAAAAGGTTTGCCACGTAGTAATTGTACTTTATTAGCTCTGGAGATCCCTGGAGGCAGAGGGGAACAGGAAAATCAAAGCATCCCGGTAGTTACGCCAGACCTTGGTTCTAAAGACAGTAAATCTAAGGGCTTTAAACCCTATTGTGGCTACAACTTTATATCAGGAATCTAGAGCAAACCTAGAACATCACGGAGAATCAGTGGTATTTATTGAGTGACTAGAAAATTAACAGAACCTAAAGTGCTTAAGATTTCACTCATCGTAGCTGCTTCCTAGCTTTGTGACTTTGAAGAAGTTACTGAACTTTTCAAAGTCTCAGTTTCCTCATCTGCACACAGGACCGTGATGGGACCTTTCTGATAAGGTGACTGAGAAGAGGCAACTAGGAAACAGCCATGAAGGCCTTAGACACTGTCTAGTCTGTAGAAAACAATGTTAGCCATTAATAACTCTAATTAGAAATCCTTAAACAGTTTGGGAAGCATTGAAAGAAAGAGGTAAAAACAGAATAACCTGTTTAATGTCTGCTGCCTTGTGGGCCTGAATAATGGAGGGGAATGGATTTATTTAGACAACACATTTAAATGCATTTCTGCAAAATAACTCTCTAAAGCATGTTCTGGCTTATCTGATCCATATTCTTCTGATCCATATTCTTCTAAACTGATATATATTAATTATATATATATATACATTTTAAGCCCTATTAATTATACATATAATTTTAAGTCTTAAGGGTAAAGAGGAGATACACAAGATTCAAAATGACAAGTTTAGGAGCTGATTGATGATGTACGTAAAACTAGTGAAATTTCTAAAATATGCAAAATCAGGCTAATATTATTGGATATTGAATCCCTAGTGTCTACTAAGAGTCACAAGAATACTTTTCTGGCACATGGTAGGCACTGAATGAATGTTTGTTGAATGAGTGAACAACTGCTAAATCCATACAAGAGACTTTTTTAAAAAATAAGGTATTTGATTTCTGTGTTTTAATTTCCTATTTGGCAATCTGAATTCTTCAAATACTTCCTGGAAATTCAACATTTTAAAGATATCTGCAGTAAACTATGTTAAAAATCTTAAGGCTGTTATAATTAACTGGACACCATATGCTCCAACCCCTGAATGTGACTTTATGTTTCTGCCTTTAAGGGAACCCAATTCTAATGGTATATTTCAGTACATGCATTTGAACTGTGAACTCAATTGCCAGAAAAATGTAAGAAATTCATGGATTTATACAAAGGAAGTATGCTGTGGCTAAATACTGTCAAGAAACATTAAGACATAAATGTATGTCTTAGAGTTATTAATGAAGCAAAAAGTTTTGCACACTGGTGTAGCATCAGAGAATCATGAAGTCTAATACCTTAGATGAATTTGAGGTCATTACAAGTATATATAGACCATCTCTATAAAAAGAGATCACAAGCATCCTTAGACAAATACAATTTTCACATTTGGAAGTCTGAATAATTATTAGTGAGTGACACAAATGTGTGAGATTTTTAACAACCCTTATTTCTCCAATATTCTGGTATCATTTTTAAAAAGCTACCCAAATGATGGCAATGCAAATTAAAATTTGCTGCTGGATCACAACAATGATTAAATATGAAACCTGTAAATGAATGCGATCATGTGCCCTTTGCAATGTGCTGGGACAGCTGCTTGGGGGTGATATCTTTGTGAGCTACCTCAGAAGGCTCCTCCCCTGCCAGTTAACTCTCTAAAGTAACCTGGATGAAGTCGTGGAAAATAAAAGATAGCTCAAATAAAGCTTTTATTAAATTTTACAAAGAATTAACAGCTACTGGAAAAATCCACCTATTAATAATCCCTTAGATAACATTCAAGATCTTGATGTTTCACCCAAATTCTAATCAAATAAGTTTTGAGATCCTCTCCCAAACTCAGACAAATAGGTCAGACAGGTTAGCGTTAGCATCAGCACAGTTTTCCAGAAAACAATAATGGCATACCAAAAAGACAAAAACCAAAATTATGGTAAGCAGAAATAAACTATCAGTAACCTTTTGGTCTGTGACAGTGGTATTTGGAAAGGTATATTAATTACAGACATAAAGCAAACTTTGCGATATTTTCAAATATTAGAAGGGAATAATCAAATACATGAGCTTCATTTTATTCTTAGGAACACTGCAGTAATGGCATGTTAATTCAGTGATATGTAGTCTGTATTGTATTCTGACTTTAAATACTCACTTTAATTATTTTAAATTGCATGAAATATTTTTCTAATTACCATTTTGAACAATGCACTTTGGAAGCTATTGGCTTGGTGTAACTTGCACAGAAAATTGATGTAAGAATTTCATTTTGATTTACATGAAAATTGATCTAATATGTCACAACTGCAGTTCCCCAAAGATTTTATTATTTAAAAGCTGTGTGATTAGCTTTGCTTGTGTGTACCTCTCCTGGAAGAAGCGAGGTGCAGTGGTGTTTCTGGTAACCTCAGGCACAAGCATATCAAGTTATCTGTCTGCATTTATCTATTCAATACAAATAGTTACAATGGCTGTACATTTACATGCAGGATTTCTTTTATTACTTAGTTCAATTTTAAATTTTAAAAAATAGTTTGCATCTGGAAAGCAACGTAAAATCAGTTTTGTGATAGTGCGTGGTATTTATTCCTTCTGTTTCTCAAGCTCCTCTTGCTTGTGTACCATTTTGGTTCTCTTTTTTAAACTACAAGTCATCATATCATGTAGTCCTTTCTTTAAGAAACAACTAATTATCCTCAGGAAATGCTAGACCAAATTAAAGTCGAAGCAATCTGGAAATACTGTTAGATCTCAAGAATTAAAATGCAATTGTTTGAGCTGAGATAAATGCCTGAAGACTCTTCTGAAATAACTTTTACATAAGGCTAAAATGACTTCCATATAAGAAACAATTACCAGGCACCATTATTAGCACTAGAAAATTGTAAGCTAGAATGAGCAATAAAAACATTGTATTTGGAATGAGATATTAAGAGAATAGCTATTAAAATATTTTACTCAATTTCTATTACACCTTAAAATGAAAGTCATCAAAATGTCATTATAGGCCTTTTCCCCAGATTCTTCAGAGTGAATTTAATCATTTCGGGGAATGGAACGCTATTCAATATTCACTTAAGTCCTTGGAAATAACAGCTGAGCAAAGCAAGACGTGAAATTTAGAAGGTATTTTCTATTAAAATATGTCCATATACATACAGATACATACCAGGGAGCATTTGTCTTCAGATACCTAGAATTAAATATTTATTGTGAAATTAACCGCTCAGCAAATGTTACCTTCAAGAAGACCTGAAGGGAGAATGCGTAGGGTGGGAACTACGAGTTAAACTCTGCAAAACCCCACTTAACAAAGCCTGGATGTGTTAGTCTAGGAAAAAAAAAAAAAAACTTTAAATAATGAATTATTTAAAAATTAATTCCAGCCACAATTTTTACTTACACCCAGGAACATAGAACTATTGACTGTTGCTTAACTAAAGAAAGATAAGCATTAGCCAATCACTGAAATTATAATAATAAAGACATCCCTGGGCATTCTTCCCGAAAACTAGCACTTTATGAAGTATTTTTAAGGCAGAAGAGACCTTTGACATCAGGTAACCCTAGCTTGTAATTTACTGGTTCTGGGAATCAAATCTACATAAAATAAAGATTGTTTACATGAATCCCCCCATGGTCATTTTCTCTACAGAGATAAAAGCTGTTTATTTCCAAGGCTGAAAAAGGAAACACGTAAAGTACCTGATCGCATTTTGCTAACAAAAGGTAGTGAATCTTTTGAAGAAGCCTTAACAATAAAATCCTCTCAGCTATTCTCTTTACACCTTTCATATTAAAAAATAATTCATATTTTAACAGTCACATTTAGGAGGCAGTTTTCTAGCGGTGCTAGCAAGGAGTACATGACATGGTCTGAAGATTGTACCTTAAAAAATGTTGAATTTTTTACCTTTCAATTCGAAGAGGGTGTCACTTCTGATGGTTCCCAGGGTTCTGAAGATACTCAGTGCTGGCCGCTTTAGAATAAAAACCATTAGCATATTACTTAAAAAGAACCACCCTACAAAGCCGCAGTTGGTGCTTATAAGCAATAAACGCCTTTCCTGATACCTATTTTGTCATCATCGCCTTATTAGCAGAGTGTCTGCTCCCTGCAATATCCATCAATTAGCAGTTTTGAAGGGGATGGGGAGTGTACCAGGGCGCATCTGCTGAGCGCCCCTTAATCACCGCAGCCCCTAACAAGGCTCTAGCACGCGAGGAGGTCGGGGACCCTGGAGCAGCGCGCACACAGGCACACAGAGCATTTCTGGGAGTCACCAGTATCGGACACAACTTTCCCTCCACGATCCAGCCGGGTCTGGAGATGCCAAGGTCCCGGTCCCAGCTGCATGGGAGTGCCCCAGCGCTTGGCAAGGCAGAGGCAACACCTTCAGAGAGAAACTACTCCTGACTCCTAAGTGCTGGCTCCCTTCTCCCCACTGCAGGCTTGGAGAGGGCCGGCTGCAGAGGCAGCCCCAGCTAGGCAGAAGGTGAGGAAGGGAAACGCTTACCCTACCATCCTCAGTCCACCTAGACAGAGCAGAGGCGGCCTCCGAATTCCAAATGAAATGCTAATGGATGACAAAATGAATGCCAATTTCCTCCACTTTGCTCCAAGTTTCCGTGGCCCTCCACAATGGAAGATAGCTGCTTGTGGAGAATGCCTTGTTCCATACCATTAACTCAGAACAAAACATATTTTTAGTGGGACAGCAGTGTTTACTTGTAAGAACTGATGAATTGTTCGGCCCCATTTATCACTCGCAGACAAAGACGTTCAACCACAATTTTGGACATAAATCAAGGTACATGCTCCTCAATTAAAAAAAAAAAAAAAAAAGACAGCTTAAGTCCCCCAAACCACAGAGATTGAGGTCAGACTGGCCATAGCAACCAGGAACAGAACTTGGGCCTCCAGAAGGACCTAGCAACTGATAAATGAGTTCAGATCTCTTTTCATCTCCACTGGTGTGAAAGCCAAAATTAAAAAGATTAGATCACCCCGCACCCATGACAAAAGGTGCCACAATGAAAAAGTCATTTCCAGCCTTTGAATCGCATCAAATAAATAACATTCATCCCTGCTATAATGAACAACTTTCAAAGTAAATTGAATCTCCATAGTACGGCTTTCCCTGGCTGCACAGTATTTACATAACAATATATCACAGGAAGCCCTGAATGGGGCTTGTAAATGGGGAAGCCAGATAAAAAACATCTTTAGCCCCATTACTGTATATTCAGCGTGCTTTCTCAGTCTCCCTCATTTAAACAGTGTGTAGTATCAGGAACATAAACAATGTCTTTAAATTGTGGGAATGAAAGTTTTTGGTGCATTTTTTAAATGCCTGGAACTCATCCCACTACACTCCCTTTGTGGGGCATTGAGGACATAGAAATTACTTAACCTCTTAGATCCGTGCCCCGGGCTCATTTTTGTGACAAAGAATTGTCATCTATGTGTCCCCTTGCTTCTTTGTTCATGACAGCAATTTTTCACCTGTAATACATGCTGGCTTATTTTTGCATATTACTTAAAATGAAAATGCATTTCCAGATTGTTTTAGCGTGTGCCTCACTCTGTCATTTCCTCGAAAGTACGGGATACTCTCCATTGTCATAACAATGATGGCTGTGAAGTTTTAGTAATTTCCCACACAAAGTGCTCACCCCGGACAGTCTAATTCAGACCCAATGTCTCCTGGTCATTAAAAAAAAAAAAAAAAATTAAGGACTCGCCTCCCAAATCACATCGACTCTCATAAACTATTGTTCATTCCCTCTATTTCAAAGGGAATGCGTGCAAATTAACACTGCAGAATCTACGGTATAAATACACCCGCTTAATCTTATCTTTCTGTGGCAGCTCACGTACATATTACTATTTGAACTCCACAGGGAATCTCATTAATTTTTAAAACCCCCTGACCTCAGTACAGTTGAATGCAAAAATAATGACAAATTGAGAATGAAAGAGCGTTGCTTCAATTCTGCCTGGCCATATGTTTCCCATTGCACAAAACATTGCTAACTATCATCAAACAGAATTTTCTCCAGATATAAATTTAAACAGCATGATAAATGTCACCACACAGACAGAAAAAAGCAGCTCACTCTTCCGCCAGCCCAGCTTACACCTCACCTCCAAGGATAATTCCAGCAACACAAAGCCCCGAGAACACAGGTTTCCAGGCAAGCAGGCGAGTGACAGCGCGCACCATGTCCTCTCAGAATATTTCCCTACCAAGAGACTCGCCTCCCGGCAGTGTTTCAGCCACAGCGATGCAGAAATACGAGCGTCGAGGCTTATATATTTTCTTACCTAAAACTTGTCAGCAGCGCGGGCTTGTCATTGTTGTCACCTCCGGTGCCCCCTCTTGCCGTCCTGGAAATTGGCTCGCTACGTTTATTGCTCTGTGCCTCAGTTACAGCTGTGACACTCATCTGCCTGCACAGAACCTAGGAGGCGAAATGAGAAAGGGAGGGAGAGAGAAAGAGAATAAGCGGGAGCAAAAGGGAGGAGTGTGTGTGTGTGTGTGTGTGTGTGTGTGTGTGTGTGTGTGAGAGAGAGAGAGAGAGAGAGAGAGAGAGAGAGAGAAAGACAGAGAGACAGAGAGACTGCTGACTTGAGACTAAGAAGCTAAAACCTCCGGCCAAGTCAAGCTTGAACAAAAATGATCAAAGCTCTGTCCTTCATCAGGAGAGTTAGACAGGCTTTTTCTCCTTCACTGAGAAGTAGGACTGTCATTGGGGATTCTCACCAGGAAAGCGCAGACAGAGGCAGACCTTCTCCAGAGCTAGCGCTGCCCAGCCGTCCGTGCAGAATACAGGTACCTATTGTTCCAGAGACAGATATGTAGCCAGCCAGTCAGACTCTGACAGATCTCAGCAAACCAGTGAGCCTGCCTTCATTTTAACTCCTTATTTACTAGTGCTTTTTGGTGAGATGGAAAGGTCTCCTCATCACCCAGGAGAAATAAAGGGAGATGGTGCAGATGACCTCAGGGGAGACACTAATCCTGCATCTTTTACAAAGAGGACTTTACTATTACTGAAAGGTTGAATTTGATGCAAATATCTTATATTTCTAGGAAGAAATGAAGCATTAGATTGCACAGGGAAGACTTAGCAAGTAAAAGAAAACCTTGACATCCAACATGAGCAGTGCAGCCAGTTTAAAAAGAGAGAAATAGGGGTTACTTAAAATACCAACAGTGTAAATGTATGCACCCAACAGCAATGGGGGTCACCTAAGCCTAAAGGGTCCCCGTCTTTTGCCCAGGGGGAGGGGTGACACAATGAAAACACTCTTCCTGGGAAGCTACCCCAGGAGACTGGGTTCCCTGGGGACTAAAGTCTGCTGGTCCCCTTTTTTCCTAGTCCTCACTGCTTTTACAAGCACCCCTCCAACATTTCCCATCTACAGTGCCTCACCGATGTCTAAATCATGCAAAATTAAGGAAGCCCAGAGAAAAATAACTTATGTTTCCTTCTCCCGGATGGATCCCAAGATCCAGGGGGCATGTTTGAGTTTTAAATTCCTGTATATTATGGATGACAGTGGGTGTCTAACTTTCATCTTTGTGTATTAATTCTATAATTTTTTAAGGAGTGAAAGACAGCAAAAGACCTTGCGTTTGATCACTGAATAATAATAAAAGGCAAGGACTAGAATAACAAGAGCAAAACAGCTTGTACCTGAGATAAGCCAAGAAGTAGACCTAGTCTTCCCTGACACATTTTATATATAAGCCCTTTGGATTTTTTTTTTTTCTGGAATGAACACCAGTTGTCATTAAAGGTTATCAGTCACCCAAAAAATACTGTGTGTATTGTGAGATAGGTATACTACAGAGTACAGAAAATAGTTCCGAAATTCCTTTGTAACATTCACTCTTTTGCATCACTTTACAAAGCCGGAGGGTAAATCTTCAGTGCAGTAGGGGGAGGTTAGCCATGCATGGCTGTTAATGGTAATGAGACATGTAGAACATATCTGTTCACTGCTGAACAGATTTGCCCAAGTAGCCAGGTTTGCTTTAGTTATTTTTTAAAGCAAACTAATAAGAGATTGCATCATGGTGTTTTAAAAAACTCCACAAAGAAGGAAAACCCTAGAAAACAGTGACTTATTTTCACACTGTCTCTTGTCCTAAATTCCAGCATTTTGAAATAATTTCAAGTCATGCTGATTTAATAGAACTCTGAACAATTAACACAGGCTCTAGAAACTTTCCAAAGTTAAAATTGCTTGACTTGGTAATATCTGAAAAGGCCGCTTGAGGTTTGCACTCAAGGGGAGCTCCTATGATGCTCCGGACACCAAATGATGTTACCTGAATGAGGAGAAAAGTAGGGAGGGGTTTTTTACTAAGCCTTCAGGCCAGAAACAAAACACAGAATCTTGCAGCCGCTTCAACTGAGTCTATCTCACACCCATTTCAAAGACTATGCCTATTGTCATGAATTTGAGGGACAACTTTGTCTGTCATGACTATCAGAATAGCAAATAACAGAGAGCCTCCCCAGTCAAACAAGAAGGGTAGGTGATAAGTGCACACTGAACAGTGCTGGGCACAGAGGGGATGACAGCTTTCACACAGGGCTGTGGAGCCTGCCTCAGAGGCTGCAGGGGTTGGGGGGGCGCTCACTCCGGAGCATGTGATAAGACTTAGGTGTAAGCACATTTAATTAGTGCATTACCAGGCCCCATCCAGATGTGATTATCTCTCTTGTGTTTTATTTTTCTTTTGATCTTTCTCTTGCACGTCTGTGTCGTTATAAAACCAAACTTAGTGTGCTAAGCAGATTTTAAGTATTCAGCCCTTCACATGTTCAGTGCAGACAGTTCTCACATTGTTTTCTGGAGGCATGTGTGGAGGGTTATCAACACTGATGGGACTCGTGGACACATGCAAATAAAAAAACAGATACCACCGTGGGGAGAGTGCAGATGTGTGTGTGTCCATGTATAAATGGGTACCAGTGTTTGTGTAAGATATATACTTTTGCATGTTCATAAGTAGGGAAAAAGAGCATCTGTTTTCTCAGTAAAGGGTTTTGAAGTTTCTAGAGGATGTCTCTGTCTCTCAAACTCTGAGGTCTATCACATAGCTGTAAGTTTATGCTTCTTCACACACTGATCCCTGATTCACCAAATAATTGTCAAGCAAGAGCCCAACATGAAGTGTAAACTACTTCTTTAAAAAAGATCCCAAGTGCTGGGTTTTTTAGGCATCCACATAGAAGAGTTAGTTGGGGATATCACTTATTCACAGTAGCAAGGGGCAGTTTGCTCCTCAGATGCTCTGCTGAATCGCTACGTCCACATAGCTTGACCAGAGAGACCTGAGATTAGGTTTCCCATAGGTTGTGAAAGAAAGGCAGAATATATTTTCTATATTACAGAATATTCCTATTTTTATAATTTCCCCCCAAGACATGCTACTGACACATTCAGCTATTCATTCACGTAATGGACCTCATGCTGTTATAACTTCTGAGGGACTCTTGGGGAATATTGAAAGTCACCCAATTCCAATAAGCTAAAAATAGTCTATGTAGTTATTAAATACATAGAAGATCACCTCTGTGCATAATCTACATATAGCTTAGATTACATACTAAAATTCTGAATACATCTTTGGCTTATCTCTGCTGGCTGATTTGAGATTAATGAGTAAATTCTGGTTCAGTGGGAAGGCTCAGAAAGAATCAATATTTCTGATGGCATGATGGAAATTAATGGCAGAATTTTGAAGTGTTTTCTAGTAGGGGAAAAAATAAAACTATGAACAACTTCTGAAGTTCTCTTTAGAGTAAGTAAGTAGTGCCATACAGAGATTTCCTGGGGATTGTGCAGATCTTCAGTTTTTTGAGAGTTGGGAAAGTCAGACATGAAAGCTAAAATTTCTGCAGGGTGTGAGAGGGAAGTATTACCATGATTACATTCAAAATTGAAATTGGAAATAAACCTGAGAATCCAATTTAGCTGACAAGAAAATATATTATGAGCTATCAACTAAAACTTTCCAGAACTAAAGATCCAGATATAGAAGTCTTTATGTTTTTCATTTAATTCATAATTAAGGGGAAGTAATATTTCTGATAATGTTGTTCTGAAAAGCCATGATTAATTTAATGAAGAATATTATCAGGTCACACCATCCAATGATTATAAGATTTCTAGTGGGAGGAAAAAAATAAGCATTTTCTTTAGTTACTCGCTCACTGCAACACAATAATATATGTGGTGTAGCCTTCATGATCAACTTTCTGACGTGTCGTTTAAGTTAAGTAACCATTTGGATTTAGAAAAGCCCGTGAAATAGTGCACTCCTAAATTAGTGAAGAATAAGATATTCCAAGATAATGGTAGAGTGTTTTGCCTTTCTTATTCTCCAATAGCTGCTAGATCCAACTCAGAGGACAATCAGATAGAGAACAAAATGTTAATATTTTGAATGGCACTAAAGGGAAAGTATTTGCATTGTTTATATATAAACGGAACAATATGTTTTTCCATGTTTCTGTAAATGCTCTCTTAAATAGTCTCAGACATATAACACAATGAAAAAGAGAAACCAACATGTAACTGATTGATGAGAGTTGATATGCAACACAAAAGCATTTCATAGAAGTTGGAGAACTCCCCCACCAGGGGATTAGGCAAAAAAAAAAAAAAAAAATTGGTAAAAATTTTACTTCCTTTACTTTGTACAGCCCCCCCCCCAAATCACAGAATATTCTAGAACATAAATATTTCCTTCAAGACTTGGAATTTTGGACATCTTTTATTAGGTCTATATTATCTATATCCTGTGCTCTGGCCGACATAGGACCTACCTGGCTTCTCCAGCAGTGGTCCCAGAGCTTCCCAGCGATTGGCAGAGTGTGCAGGTGCAGGCAGAGCCATGGGGACCCTGGTTGTCTCCAGTTGCTCTGTCTTCCCCATCCAAATGTTTTCATAAAAGTGCAAGGAGAGCCTGATTTATTAATATGGCAAAGTCATTACAATCCTGATCTAAAATGTTACTGGACCTTTCCCCAGCTACTGCTGTTTAAAGAAGTCTTTAAAAACCAATTTAACTTCCTTCCACCCAGACAAGTTTTCTCCACAGATAATTGGCTTTCATTATATGCACAAAAAGCATCAGTGGAGTCTGGATGTATGAGGCATTTAAATATTTTCCAATGAAAGTATGCCTGTATTTCTATTTGGGTGTCCAAATACACACTTCGATTAGATTCTATGTAACTGATCATTAACACTCTTACAACGTAAGGGAACGCACCATGGAGATTGTAAGCAGCCAAGTTAGTCATTAGCAGGAGAAGAAGTTTAATAAAGTTTATAGTACAGATGTCATATTCTTTTATTTTAAGCAATGTATCCTCCTCGGTGATTGTGCTGAATTGTGCTCAATATTAGAGCACTTCTCTTTCATTTACTGATTTTTTCCCCCAAGTATCATTTACACAACATCCCTTTTCAAGTTTAAAACTTAATACAATATTGTCATCAGAAGTGTGTCTGAGATGCTAGTGCAGAATTGCTAATTATTCGTAAGTACCTGGAAACATTAGATTAGCGATGCTGATAATTGCCTAACTACAGCATGACAATATGAAATCAATTATCACGCACATTAATCTTTGACATTTCGCTGCATTACAATGGTCGTAAAGTTGCCAGAAACTTTTTTGCTGTTGCCTGAAATGCTAAACAGTGGTAAATACTGATAAACATGGCAAAAATAAACATAGCAGCAGCCTATGCAATGCCGAAATGAGTCTACTTACTTGAAAATTCCTTCCTTCTGGATTAAGAATCTATTCTTGAAGTTGAAGAATTTCACACTGGAAAACTTTCAGGAGCCTGTGGGCTCCACAGTCTCTCTTTCCACTGGTGGCTAGGATCAAGGAGCCTTATTTAAATAACAATGTGACTATTTTATAAAAGTCACTTAGCTGCTTCTTCAGAGAACTGGCTGATTTTTGAGCCTCCTCTTTGGCCCATCTGCGTACTGTTGTCCCGGGTCAGATGAGAGTCCCCCAGCAGGGTCCCCACAGCCTCCTCATCCTTCGGGGACTGAACGCGGTGAAGTGAGGCTGCTTCTCCGTGGTATTTACCAGTTTTGGGAGTGGAAGGAGACGGTTAACATTTTTTTTTTTTCAATTCAAGATCAAAGGCAGGCCCGTCTCGGGACCAAACATAGTTTCCTGAGTTGCATTTGAGTCTGAGACTTGCTGCGTTTCTCAATGGAAAGACAAACCGAAACACCCCAGAGGAGAGTGACTCCCTGTGCCTGGCTCCATCAAGTTAGTCTCTGTGAATCAAAAGAACACGATGACGATGATGGAACAGGGAGAGAAAGGGAAGATTCCAAGCAAGTTAGTTCCTTCTGGCAAGCCGCACCAGCCCTGCACCGCAGCGCTGGGAGGGAGCACGGTGGTCCTCCTCCTGTTGCACCTGAGCTGTGCACTTAATGAAGTCAAGGTCAGGCTGCCTCGAGTTGGCATTGGCGGTGATAACAAATCAGAAATGATAGCATCATACAGATTTATGAATTTCTTACCCCGTAGTCACAAACATCAGACGTTTACTTTATAAAGAGAGCTTTTAGATCCTTCCTGCAGTTTCCATAGTGATTTCATTTTTCCCCTTTTATCACAGATTGGCTGAAGTGCTGTACCCTTTGTGTGTTAAAAGGCTTGTGCTACCAACTGTCGACATAAAAGGTAGCTGAGGCAGAGATGCAATGTATACTGCCAGAAATAATTGAAACAGAGACATGTTGGTGAAAGGTTCCAGGAGGAAAAAAAAAAAATTTTTTTTTTTCCTGTATCAGTTTTTGTGATAGTGCAGGAGAAAAATAATTTTGGCTGAATTCTTATAATTACTTTCAGTTAAATGTAGTTATATTTTACGCAGTGTACCATACTTATATTAAAACACTCATCACACAAAACATAATCCTTTCATAAAAGGCTTTAATATAGCTTACACTGTTCCAAGTGTCTGGGCTTGTTAAACATAAAAGTTCATTATGAAAACATTTTCACTTCAGTTACTTTAGTTTCGACTGCAATGTTTATTCCAGTACTTAGTCTTCTCTTTTATCTCTTAGTTTACATAGTTTTATTTAATTTTTTTTTCTATGAAAAAAGTGTGCTTGCATTTTCAAATTAATCCAGACTATTCACTGCAAAACAGTGAAAACCTATGGAAGAAATCCACGCCTTTCTTTCCAACAATTAATAAAGCGAGAGCTTAGTTCTTAATATAGTTCCACGTTGTTTTATGTAGTTCTTCTCTCCATTAAAATGGAATAGTTAAATGAATTTTAAATGTTATACTGATTTTTCTTTCAACTCTTATGGTATTTAATAATGTTGAACCTTGAATAATCCTAGTCATAGGTTGCCGTAATCCCAAGAGAAATGTCTGCTCTCTAACGACTTATTAAATATATTGAATTCTTGTCACAATGCTGTAGATGTATGACAAATACACTTAGCTCCAGAGATGCCTTTTTGAGATATGAAAAAAAATCATACATTGGCAATTATCTCTATAAATCATGTTTTATATATCAAACTTTCTAGATAAAAACTAATATAAGAATAATGGTCAGTTTGCCAAAAAGAACATTTCTATGAAAGTAGTAGAGATATAATATATTCTTAGGTATTTCATATTAAAATATTCTAATTACTATAAATATATAGAGATCTACGAGCTCTTCCTGTGGTTATTATAACTTGTACCTTATTTTATACTTTATTAAGATTTCCAAAGAACATATAGCCTAAATTAGCTATCCAAGTTCTGAATTTTTAATCAGTGATGACAAACCTAAGCACCGTAGTAAGATCTTCCCTCCTCTCTTTTTAAGGGAAAATAAGCTGTAAAGCGAATTTTTAAAGAAAACATATGAATTGACATATGTAGAAATTTTAAGAGGTAGTAAGACAGGTAGGCACAGTACAAAATATTACTTTAGCAAAGCTCTTTGAGGACAGGGAAGCACGGCTCTTCTCTAGTTTGGCAATTGGTATAGTTAAGTGCAAGATAACACAGAAGACAGGGATATCTCCCGCTATTCTACATACTTCTGAACTTCACAGTATAAGGAGTCACAGAAGCACTAGAGTCTATATCAAATGGAATTTGTGGATTTACTCATTGGACACATTCTTCCTAAACACATCTCACACCACAAACTTTGGTAAATGGGGGATATTTCGGCTTCTATGGACAAGAGAGGTCATTCTTGTATTCATGGCCCTTCCAGTCTGGTGAGGAGACGGGGAAAAACAGAAGTAGTAAGCGAATAAAATGTGCATGTTTATTAAGGAAAAGAGAGGTGTCTTTGAGACGGGCTGTGTGGGAGGAGGATTCCAAATGCAAGATTGTTCCATCTTGGAAGAAATAAAAGAAGCCCAGTGTGGATGAAGCCTGGTAAGCTAGGGTGATGGATACAGAAGCCATAAATTGCAATTGCAGGTTAACTTAATTCCAGCAATAAGGGGACACAGTCGTAGGGTTTTACACAGAAGAATGACACAACTCATTGATTCATTCATTGATTTAGGTTTTAGGAGACAGCATCCCACTATGCAGTCCAGGATGGCCTTGAACTTGCTATGCAACTCAGGCTGGCCTCGAACTCATGTTCCTCTTGCAGTGCTAGCATAAATACTGGGATGTAGACCTGCGTCCCCGTATTGAACTAATTTTGTTTTCAAGATCATTCTGCAGGCTATGTAGGGTGGAACAAGGTGAATTTAGAAACAAGATGAATTAGGAGATCACTATAAAGAGCTAGTGGAGAATGCTAATGGCAGCACTGAGGCCACCAAGTGACCAAGGCAGACTACAGTGGACAGTGGAGGTAGAATTGTCAGCACATAGAGACGGACAGACCGTGGGTTGAGCCAAAAGGAGAAGCCAACAACGCCAAGGTGTTCAGAGTTGAGGAACTGTGAGATGGGGATTTGAAAGCAAAGATAGCAAAACTTCACTTTTAGACATGTGAGACAGTAGACATCCATGACTGTCCAGAGACAAGTCTGGGCAGAAGACAGATTGTGAGGTGTCCGAATATAGATAGTATCTGAAGACACTTTCTTCTTTTTCAGAAAAAAAAATTACCTAAGAAAAATCTGTATGTAAAATAGAAAATGAACTCTCAGCAGAAGAGCTGAGAGATGTCAATGTTTAAAGACAAAAATAAAAGGCTGGCAGCAGCCAGAGAGGTGGAAGAGGAGAGGCACAGCAGAGCCGTGGTGCTTCAGAAGCTCAGGGAAGAGGCTGCATCAGAAAGAGAGCATGAAAACTGCTGGGAGGTCAAGAAAGGCACGAATAGAAGAGACCGCTCCGGATTCAGCTCCACGGAGTTGACAGGGGCCTTGTGGAGTGCTGGAGGAAGCAGGCACGGAAGAGAAAGGCTGAGGTGTGACGGAAAAGTCAGGAAGTGGAGGCCTCATGTCAGACACCAGTTTGAGAAACTTAGCCAGGAATGGAAGCAGATGATCCAGTGGCTGCAGGCGAGCAGAGAGAAATGAGGCGCTTGCTTGATAAATATGGAAGAGTTGTCTAGCAGGTTTGAGTGTCCCTTTGAGATTTATGATCTTGAGTTTAAAGTGAAACAAAATTTTAGATGCGTGGCTGATTTTCGTTTTTCTAGAAAAGTTTAACTGCTTGATGTAAGAAGGCACCAGGATGAGGTTTGCGAAGAAAAGCAGCGCAGTGAATGAGATAAAATGAATTGGGAAAGCTGGAGGACCGTGGTTACATCAATAGATGTAGAATTCTATCTTGAAAAGGAATCTTATCTTCTAAGGAATGAGAATGCTTAGGATTTAGGGGTTGTAGGCATTAAGGAAGTTGAAGACTAAAAAATCAAAGTAGAAAGACAGGAGATGGAAATTTGAAAATGAAAGTTAAAATTAAGATATGTGAAGTCCAGCTTCCTCCATGGCCAAGGGTAATGACCATAGTTGGTCATGACCACAAGAGGGAAACGCAGATGTGTATGCAGATTTCAACAAGATCCACAGAAACTTGTGAAAATCTGGGGTTCAAGAGGTACTCAAGAGAGAAGAAGACTCCAAGGGCGATAAAAACTTACCATAACCTCCATTCAGGAAAATATATAATAATGAAAAGAAGTCAAAACAAAACTTCAGAAAGCAGCGCTGTTTGAGAAAATGTGGTTTAAATGAGCTTGATGGAATAATGGCAGAATAAAAGGTAGGAAGAGAAGCACGTCTCCAGAGATGGGGAGAACTGGATGGTGAAGCCCTTCAAGGATGAAACGATCAGAATGAGCTGAGCTATAGGAAATGTTAAAAAATGAAAAAAGCTTTCCATCTATGCTCTCAGGAAAAACAAGAAAGCGATGATTGAGGTCATTTATTCATGTAGTTACTTCAGGAGCTGTTACGGAATCTCTACTGTGTTCTGGGAGTTAAATAGCAAAAGGTTGGAAAGTACAAACCTTGCCCACAAAAAAGACAACAAGAGTAATTCAGAAGTGGCACAAACATAAATTAATGGCTTCTATGTCTATGTCATTTTAAACAATTTCCATGTACTAGTCTATTGAATCCTACTAGCAACTCTGCAGGTCAATTCTAACGTTCCTTCCATTCTACAGATGAGAATGTGAGGCAGAGAGGCCAACTACATTGTTCCATCCAGTGCCATGCACAGAGAAGAGCCAGCGTTTGAAGCTAAACTGTCAGGCTGCAGTCTACACATGTCCCCCCAGAAATTCTTGGAGCCAGTGATATTTTATGATTCAAAATTTTTAAAAATATAAGAGCACAATGTATGTGCTTTTATTTCATAATATTTCTAGTATGGTATGAAGCAGTAGTTACTAGAAAATTATTGATTTTTTGTATGAAACATTAATTTGGTACTAAATGAGATAATAAATGAAGATTGTAAACTTCACTTATTAGTTGAAGTTGTGTTTTGTGGTCAGATGAGTTTTAGTATCAAGAATGAAGGGAGGAAGGAAGAAAGGAAGGGAAGAAAAAAGGAGAAAGAGAAGGAAAGAAGGAAAGAAAGAAAGAAAGAAAGAGAGAGAGAGAAGCCTAATATTTCAATACATTGCCAGTAAGTAATTTGGAGAGAGGCCTTTACACTGTGTTACTTTAACATTGTCATAAATATACGGTAAATAGCAAAAGAGGGGAGCCCCCAATACATGGATGTGCATAGTGGGGGCAGGGAGCTGGGGGTCAGAAAATTTTTCTCTTATAATACTTACACTATAATAATAACAAAAAGCATGCAGACACTGATGGAGATCTTACATGCGCCAGGTGCCACCCTAAATACTTTATATCCTGAATACTTCATATTTGAAAAAATGCCTGTCATTAGCACCGTGAGGGCTCCGACCATCCCCAGCTCACAGATGAGGAAACTGAAACACAAAGCAGCTAAAAACTTGCTGAAGTTTAAGGAGACCTTGGGTGATACAGCAGTAAGGTTTGACCTAGGCAGGCTGGCTCCCAAGTTCACGGGCAAAGTCCCCATCATACCCCACACCGTGCAAATTTCCACATCAGTGTCCCCCACTGCACTCCAGGCCTGGACCTGAGGTCAGGCTTCATTCACTTCCACAATCCCTGCAAGTAAATACACAATGTGGCCGTGCTGGGACACGTCAGAAAGGCATTGAGCAACAGGCAGAAAAAGAGGGGAACAGATAGGAGATGGAAAACAGGGAGCACAGTACGGGAACCTGCGCAGTGATTGCTATTGTGTCCGTCTTTAGCACCCAGGCGATAAAGCTTCAGCTTGGCAGCAGGGGGACCGTGGTGGCTGCAGTCACGGGGTAGTGCAGGAACACAGAAGTGTAGACTCGGTGCAGGACCGGCAAGCTCAGGAAAGATGGGAGGAACCGGAGAGCCCAGGCCTTCGTCAGGCCTTCGCAGGCCTGCCGGGGGCACTAGTTTTGCATTTTGGGGTAAGAGAAATTTATAGCTAAAATGATTGGTGGGATAAGCACCTAAATTGGGGGAAAATTTAAATCTTAGAGAAAATGGTGAGCCACTAGGACAGTTCAGTCCTCTTTTATAAATAAATGAACACAAAAATGTCCAGAAAATGGAGCACACACAAACAATGTAAACTACATCTCTCCCCCAAAAGAAGAATTATTAGATTTCTGAAGCTGCAGATCAATGAGTCTAGCATCAATTTCTTGGGAAAATTCTAATAAAGAGGATTAAATGGCTAACTTACGAGCAATTATCAAAGAAAGAATTAGAAGACTCCCCTGGATTCTTAAAGTGGGAAGTTATCCTAAAGTAAGTTTATTTTCTTCTTTGAAAAGAGCTTGCCAGACTTGCAGATTATTTTTCTAAGATTTCCTGTGGACAAGATGAGGCATCTTTAGATGAATCTGCGCTAATAAACTTTGGCCTCTGATTCCACCATGGTGGTCCTTCAGAGAGTATCATGTTGAGAGCAAGGAATCTGGACTAGGAGGGACCCGTGAGCAAGAGTTTACCCGGTGTGTACACTGGGACAGTACAAACTGGAAGCTACCTCGCTCTGTGGAATATTAAGGATCCTTGCCTATAGATAGACAAAGACCAGAGGGGGTAACAAGGAGCAATCATTAAAAGCTGTAAGGTGTGTTATGCGAGAGAAAAATAAAGTATGCATAAACACAAATCAGATTACCTTATAAAACAATGATGGTGGTTGGCAAAATGCTTTTCTAGAAAGAGTTTATCAAGTCCTATAAATATATTAAGAAGTAAACTAAAGCTCAGCATGGTGGCACACAACTGTATCCCACCTTCTGGGAGGCTGAAGGAGGAGGATCACAAGTTCAAGCCCACCTTGGGCAACTTGGCCACATAGCAAGCCCTCTCCTCTCTCTCAAAAAGTACACAGAAATAAAAGGAC